TTGCAAGAATGTATCATAATGACAAATTTGCGTAAAATACAAACTGGTTTGAGTCTGTACACCGCAACGAACCGGCAAAACCAGAAACCCATCCAACTACTGCACTCCAGCATATAACCACCTACAGCTGAGTGACTGAACCACCAACAGTCTCTACTTACGTTTCCAACTAAAACTTCTGCTGCCTACAGGTTGTTTAAACATCATTAACCATGAATTATTAAATTGCGGCTCTCGCAGTTTGACAGTCCCACTCTGAGAATTGTGATGCCGATATAAAAAAACGATGAATCATTCAGCGCTGGTCCTACTTTTAGGAACAGGGCTCCGGGAGCATACAGTACGGTGCAGTGAATAACTACGGGTTGTGCCTGTCTGTATGTATTGTAAGCTCAACCTCAGTGTATGGTACATGCCTGGTGCCCGAGGAGACAATACGCCTGATGTGTGGTCTAAGTTGTCCTGACAGCACAGGGAGCAGTGGTCTCAACTACTGCCCAGCAGGCCTTGGCCTCAATCCCAGAGCGACAGCAGCACATTATGGCTGTGTGTGGGAGGACTGACTGTGCAGAAAATACTAACTTCTGTACCATCCTCCTTTTCCAGTTATCTATCTCCACATACTGTATACACACATGCTGTTTATCTAATCAGGCAGGAACCTCTGGATCTAGACAGAGAAGCAATGCTGAAGTGCCTTTAACCCTCTGAACCCCAAAACCCACCGACGGGATTGAAAAGTATTTTTTCTTTCAATAAACGGCAAAACTACACCGTTTATCACAGCCAGAAGCTGTAAAAACAGACATTATGGTCAGATTTTCATCTTTCCAACAATGCTTGAACACCTCATGTGCGATGAACTCTTTCACCAGGCAATGGCCAAAACGCCGAACTGAAGGCTTCAAAAAACGCAGTCGATAAACCAATGGGTGACGTCACAACGACCACGTCCACTTTATATACACATCCATGGTCTGAATACTGTAAATACTTATTTTTTTCTTACCTAAGAAAGTTTTACAAATCCCAACATTGTTGAAAATACTGGTGGCATGGGTCAGACAGAAAGACACTTTTAGGGTGGACCGATGGACCGAGAGAGCTGCAGCTGAAAGCTATTCAGGTTAAAAGATTCTCTCCATCTTCGAGGCCACCAGTAAGTCATGATTTTCCACTTGGAGAATCCATCAGTGCCCTGCGGAGGTGTGATAGGCTATCAGGGCTGGACAGGCACTTCAGAATGAAAGATGAACCACTTTAAAGAGTCTTCTCATGGGATGGCAGGACTCACACTCCAGAGGGACTCCTCGGGTCATGGACAAGACGTCCTGGTGTCAAAGCCGAATCTCAGAGGACGATATCCGATCTCCCACATCAGCCCGTCTACAGAGCCGATCCATTGTCAGAACTTTTAGAAGATTTTGGGCAAAAATCGGTTATGATAATACCGTAATCACAAAAAAAGGAGCCCTACCAATATTGGCATTTTAAAATATAGATTTTCTAACATAGACTAGAGGATGTAGACTGCAGATCTCCACCAGGTGAGACTGCATTGCTGTTATGTTTGAGTGAATGAATACAATATTAGGACCCCCCCAGTCAAGTATATCACAAATCTCACACACCAGAAATGTTTCATTTCAAATGATTCATGTCTCATTTCAATCTATGCAAATGTCTGCACCGACTCGGTCAAATACCAGTAAAATCAATAACGACTTTGACTTTTTAGGATGGTTAAAGTCCCTACGATATGTTGTTCTCAAACACTTTGTCCCAGCTACGATGTCTTACACCACATCCCATAAATCAAAGCAGGTTTCTGTCTGAATCAACAGTCTCCATAGACTACAAGCGTCTACACCTTTGTTCCCGTTTGTGTGTGTCGGGGGGGGGGGGGGGGATTTTGAATACGGTTGCCCTTGATAGCTGAATATTAATCAAACAAGTGCGAGCACAATATAAATGTGTACTTTCACACCATCACAGGAGGGCTTCCTTCACCGCGGCGTTGGTCTCATCAACTGACAGTTAGGAATCATGCTGTGCAGCCCTTGATTGAACAATCATTGAGACACATGCCTTTTTGTCAATGGCAATTTTAAGGTGCCTTTCTAGTCCCGGGAGCAATTTGGGAGCAATTTGGGGTTCAGTGTCTTGCCCGAGGACACTTGGACATGGACTGGAGGAGCCGGGGATTGAACCGCCGATCTTCCGATTGGAAGCCGACCCCCGGCTCAGACGCTTGTTACGGCATCCAGCAGACAATGTTCTCCCTGTGGTTTGCTCTAGCATGTCTAATGAAGCTGGTTTGACTGTCTCTCAGAGGGTCACACAAGGATTCTGTATTTTTGCAAAAACTCCAGATCTCTCTGTGAAAGAAATACATTACAATTCAGGGGTTTCAACAACTACTCATGTATAGTTTAAAGGACCAGTCTGTAGGTGTGTAGTTAAGTGGGATTTATTAGCAGAAATTGAATATACTATTCATAACTGCGTTTTTATCGGTGTATAATGAACTAAAACTTGTGTGTTTGTTGGATTAGATTGAGTCCATCTACATAGGGAGACTGATTGACTAAGAGGAAGGCAGCCCTATAATTACATTATACTGTTGTTTTATCTTAAAACGGTATCATCAGTTGGAGCATTTCAACATTGCCCCATCCACTACGCAGACCTCCACAGCATTACTCGCTGCCTCGCTACATAAGCGGTACTCTACACTGACTCTGTCCGTCGGTCGTACGCTGCACATTCCTCCAGAATGAACTTGCGAGGGATGCTGAGCTGGAAGAGGAGATCCGGGTCTCGGCACAGCATCCTCTTAACACCACGCTCCCTGCCAGCGGCTGGATGCACTGTGACAGGCGCTCCGGTGCTCCAAATCCCATGCCCATATTTGGCTCTTCCTTCCGGTAACAGTAAGCAGAGATGACAAGGAAAAGCCCCTTTTCCCTCACAAGGGCCTCTGGCCTCCGCTGGGTTTGCAGAGGTCAGGTCACCGGCCCAAGGCGATGGGGCGATAATCTCCGTACGCCAAATCATCTTATGTAATGTGTAGTTTGAGTGTGATTCAGAATTGGTCCAGAGGGGAGAGAGGAGACACGCTTACGTAATAAAAAGCAGACTCAAAAAGATGTGAAATGCCCAGAGCACAGAGAAAGGAGAGGAGTCCTCCAAAGTCTGAGCACTTTCTACTTTTCTGTGGCTGCTGCTTCCACCACATTCAGCTCAGAGGTGAAGCCAGGAGAACAAAAGAGAGACAATCGCACTCGTTCAGTCAGCCCTGAACTTAGAAAAACCACTCTGGTGTGAAAAGATACAGTACGGAAGGATATAGAACATTTTATACACCAGAAATATAATGTACAGCACTGTGGATGTGATCTTTAGGGACATTAAAGGGCCAGACTAAATGGAGACAGCTGGAAAGTACGATATATATATATATATATATATATATATACATACAAATATATATATACATACATACACATTCATCAAGAAGGAAACTGATCATAAGTTACAGCCCCAGTGTTGAATATTATAGTTTAACTAAGTTACTAACTGTATTAGTTTGCCTTGTTTTATGGTGATTCAACATGTGCATTAAACACCAGTCAGATTATCTCTGTGACTTCTGAAACTCTGAATATCAAAACTGAAACCGTTCCAACCCGCTGGCTCTAAACAAATCATGCACGCACCTGCATGTGTTTGCACACGTGTACATACGTGTACACCCGCAGAGCAAACAGCAGCTACAGGACTCTCAAATAAGTACTTGTGATACGTGGCATGAACTCACTGCTTTCACTACGGTACCAGTAACTGTTTTTCTAGACATTTGTGCCTGCTGACACTTCGAAACAAACACACACACACACACACACACACACACACACACACACACACACACACACACACACACACAGGAGTTGATGAAACCCCTGAGCACATAACATACAGTGATCTCAAACCTGAGACGGGTGTTGACATGCCACATCATTATGCTCTCTACTGCAGTGCTCGCTCGCATATGTATTAAAATCACTAAAGTAGCAGAAGTGCACTGTTGGTCATAACCAATGACCAACAGCTGCTTCATCTTTGCTGCTAATGTTGCTTTGAAAAGTTTCGATACTGCATGTGACTCACTTGTTGCTTGGGAAAATAACCTATGAACTGTATATCGCTCAGTAAATAGCCATGCAAATCACCACTATCACAACTAGGCCACCTTCTACTACTTCTACACCACGTACTTCAGCCAGGAAGAGAGCCGAGTCAATGCAACTAATGAGTGAATACAGATGTTTCTGTTCAGTGCAAATACAAAGTACCTCCAAAAAACCACCAAACACTAAGAAACAGAGTCAATATATTTAATATATATATATGTATACATATAACATCCCTCTGTCTGTCTGTCTTGAAATTGCCAGTCGACCCTCATCTAACTGCATGTCTTTTATTGTTGTTCGTCTGTGTCTGACTGACTTATATATTTCACATACTCTGCATGCTTTCATGTTTTGTTCCTCTGACATGGATGTTTTTAGTGTCTAACAATACAGCATCATCTTGTCTTCAGTCCATGTTTCTATTTAACATAGTTATCCCTAATTTTATTTGCTTTGTGTGTTGAATGTGTCTTGTTAGTACTTGACAACGTAGTATAAGAGTCTCCTGAATGATGATACTACTTATATTATTCTCACTTCTTTCATTGTTTCTGCACGCTCTGTAAAGGGTCAATATTGCATAACTATGCAAGTGTAATCTTAGGTTTATTTTGAAACATCTGCCAACAGCAATGTTTGTATTAATGTGCACTGTCCCTTGTCAAATAAACCAATAAATAAAATATATATATATATGTAGTCATTTCATTTTAACTTACCACAAGTAGTTATTGTAGCTTTATAGTAATAAAGTGAACTGGTGGGTTTCTCTGAGAGCTGCAGAACATTTAAAAGAGAGCTTACCTGGACTCTTGAGGTTGTATTTATTCTCCATGCTAACAGATGTCGTTGTTTCTGATGCTAACTCGCTAGCTAACTTAGCTTCCAAGCGACCTATACCGCTACTTAACGTTAGCTACACGTTAGCAAGCCCCGGCTATTAGCTTCCTTCGGTCCTCAAATATGAGCAGGACAGCGGAAACCGGAGGTCGTCCGCTGTGCCCGGTGTTCCGGTGTGCAGCTGCAGTATAATCTATCAGTGTACAGTCGTCTCAACGGTTATTGACGAGTTGTTTCTCAAGTTATCCGCTGTTTCGGTTTTGAAACTGTTTTGCTTCAATGTTATCTTCGTGACGTCATTTATGGAAACGTAAACAGGAAGTGACTGGCTATTGGCTGTCTCTTCTTCTTCTTCTTCTTCTCTTTCTTCCGAGGTCTGAGGCAGCGCATGCGTATTATTGCAAAGGACTTTTTTAAATATGATTATAACAGGATTTTTTTTTTCTCTCTGACAAAAAAAAATTCACCATAAATATTTTAATCTTAAAAGCAATTAAATATTTAATTGTGAAATGTAACCACATATATATTTAAAAAATATATATGTGTAACTATAATGAAATATGGTGTGAAATATGATTAAACTGTTTTAAAAAAAAACACGAAAAAAACCTATATTGGTATCGAACATTTAGTGCATCCCTGCAGGGTGCGCTGTGATCATGTTTATTTCAACCTCCTGTCAATACAAAGTCATTTCAATGGCCTGGTATGCATAAAGCGGCCTAATGTATATTTATATGACAAGTTGTTAGGACTTAGATTAACTTTTAAAGAAAATAAAAAGATGCTTTGCCAACAAATCAAGCAAGTTTCTTGTTCCAGTAGAAATGGGTCAGTCCTGTTAACGTAAAACCGTAAACAGGGATTTATTACAAGGTGATTAAGTTCTGTTAACTTGTGTTTTTGTTATTTTTAGAATGTGAGAAAAGCTACTTTAAAAGTTAGTTTACTTTACACCAGACTCCTCTACGCTGTAGAACCTCAAAGTCACATGACTGACACGTTGTTAGATAAGTTTGTCGGATTCAAGAAGATGTCACATATAGATCTTAACAGATTCTTATCGATTATGTTCACATTTTGATGATGCAGGTCACGGCTACAGATCAAAAGCAGCTGACATTTCAGAAATATTCTGCACACATTTATACTTGTGCATAATATTTTTGTCCATTTATATTCCTGGGTGCTGAGGTGCATGAGCAGGTGCAGTCAGGTGAAGAGGGGAATAGATGAGATATTCCAGGTCCCATCTTCTGTTTAATGTTCCCTGCATGTTATTTTTACTGAGTCAAAAGTGTCGACAGTCACAGTTGCTCTGCTTCATGTGACTCTGACAGAGATTCGAAATCTCTCAGGTTGTTTTTCAACCGCTCCACCATGAGACGCCGCTGATCCATCTTTATGTTTAGACCAAACTGCCACCATCCTGCCTTCCTCTTCCCGCCTCAAAATATCCCAAAGACTTGAATATGGCAGGAGGAATACCTGACTGTTTCTCACTTTCTTTTTGCCCCTCAACATTAATGCAAAACTCATTCAAAGGCTGAGATCTCAAGCAAATGCCAGTTTCAGGCATGAAGCAATACACAGAAATCTGGAACTCACAGAGCAGGTTTATGGAGATTTCACAGACGCTTTGGAAGCTTTATGGAGGTAAATGGGGGGGGGGGGGGTGGGGGGGGCACTTTGATCTTGATCTGTTCATGACTTCGCCCAAAAGGTATTAATGGAGTTTGAACCAGTTCATTGAAGATAATATCTTGCATCTTAAAAACAAAACACTGTTGTCAGATTGAAAACAATGGCAATTTTGCAATTTTAAATGTAATTTTGGATGTAGTTTGACACTGTTTTCCTATTATATGGGACAGACAGACAGACAGACCTGCTTCATTTTTGTGTGTTTAAAATAAGGGTATTAGGCCTGCTTATTAAGAAGCAACGGTATTTCTTTACTATAAGGATGACATGGAAAAGGAAAACATCCCTTTGTCACAGACATTTGCCCACTCGTGCACTGTCTGTGGTTACATTTCACTGTATTCAACATGGCTGAAACAGCAGAGCAGCGTGTCACTTCTATAGAATATTAACTAAAGCTGAGTGCTCGACCGCCAAACACCCTACATCATCACTTCAAACCGATCACTGCGCAGAACGAACGTCAAATCTCAAGATCACATTGAAAAGCAACGAAGGGACGCCCGACCACTGACTCATGTCACACCGCATCAAGAGCAGTCCAGCTGCTCTGCGTGTGTGCCCACGCACTTCAAGCCTCGCAGTCAGTTGCTCCAGTCATGTACGGATGCTGGGGGCATTAAAAACCCACTCCTGCAAAGTCAAAACCCACAGGAGTCATGAACATGCCGTACGGACCAGAGACCTCTGACCTTTTGGCTGTGCTTCTGCTGCATGATGTACATCCACAGCGCCTCTGGTGCTCTATGTGCCAGCCACAATACATCCTTTATTATGAAGCAGGTGTCATGAAATCGCATTAGACATAAGACATTTTCTTTTGTTTAAAATGTAAATGAGGGAGCATTGGAGTATGAGGATGTGCAAATTGTGCAGGTTGAGGATGTGCAAAATGTGCAAACCATGTGCAGGTTATTGAAGGAGCGAAACAGAGTGAAATGTGGTTGAAACTATAAAGCTGAGAGTTCTCTGTTAGACAGAGGAGAGGTGTCTTTTTAATAAACCCTCTTGTTGGAAAATAAACTCAACTTCTTTGACTGCTAGGTTTACGACAATGCCTCAAACATTCACAGGATCCAGTGTGTCGACGCCAATGTTTATGACAAATTAAAGTCCCATTAGGTGGCCTCGCCATCGACTTCTTCCTTTATATTTATTACTTCTACTTTTCTAGTCTGCACACAAACATCACCCAAAGGACTTCACACAAAAAGATTAGACGCTGCAGCAAAGAAGAGAAGGAAAATTGATCTGAAGCGATTTTAGCAGCTGTTTAAATTTCAAATTCAGATTCAATTCACTGTAATAATTTAAACTCTTTGTATTCACATCATGTAGTGTGGAAGGTAGCGATGAAGGAGATTCCCATGTTTATGACGGCTGTATGCAGAGTTTTACATTTGCATTTATTTAAATGTCAAATATATCGAGCATCCATGTTTGTTTGATTTCTCAGGAGCTTACATATCATCCGTGAAGATGCAGCAGCTGTAACACAGCTCAGACACCATCGTCTTACAGTATAAATTATAAATGCTCCACTCTATTCACCAGCTCGTCTCTTAACTGTGTCTGCCACAGCGACGCCGCTGTGAAAGTGATGGTATTTGATTCTGACGCGTCTGGTCCATATGATCGTCTGACAGTGAAGATGCAGTGTTTGTATAGATGAACCTCTAATGAGGGGGGAAAAAAGCTTTATGTAATGTCACGAGGTTGGCTCTCCATCAAGTGCAGCAATCTTCCACCCGCCAAATCCAGATTAATTCTGCTTGTGTGTGTGTGTGTGTTTGTGTGTGTGTGTGTGTGTGTGTGTTTAAAATCTGCCAGTTGCTAAGGGAAACTGGCACAAAGTTTATGATAATTATTAGTCAACACTATGGGATTTACAACACAAAGGTCTTGACCTGAAGCTGACAAACGCAGCACATTTCCTTTCTTTTAGGATGATGTATTCAAGCCTTTATGTCATAGTATTAATGGAGGGACACAGGGAATGTAGCAGGGGAGTGACGTGCAGCCGGGGAATCAAACCGCTGACTCGCTTCTCAGGGGCATTTAGGCCTAAAGCCACTTCGCTGTTCGGTCGCTGGAGCACAGCACATTTCTGCCACGCGGCTTTAGAGTAGAGTATTTATCGATTGCATTAGAAATGACACTTTGTGTGGCTCGCATCATGATAAGAGCAGGTCAAAGGTGCCTCAATGCTTCCTTTCTAATCTCCTTTAGCATAGGACGCACTAACCATCCTTTATGAAAGGAAAGGAGTTAATCCCACAATCCCTGGCGGCAGCAACATTTAAAGCCGCTCTTAAAAACAGACAATATGCGTATCTTGCACAGATTTAACAATTGCTTTCATACAGTCGTGTACTAATTGAGAGAACGAACCTTTTCGTTTCACTTTATTTTTTATTCAGTGAATATAGCAAGCTGTCAATAAACAAATTCTCATAAACAGAATAAATAATCAACATGAATAAATATTAAATGTCCAAAAAGGAGTAGGGAGAATAATACAGTGCTGCCTCTTCTCCATAACTCAAACAATAAACTCAATACAGCAGCAAAGGTGAAAGTAAAATATAATAAGTATACAGACTGAACGGTTGAATTCACACTTGAGTATTTAATAATGCACCACTACTTGTCTGAGACGTTTAGGTTCATGTATAGATGTCAGTTTGGGAGATCTTTCGTGTCGCTAAGATGAATATATAGTAAGTTACAAGCAAAATCAGCAACATAAGATTCTGCTTTATTTTACTATTCACATTTATTTACATTTATGAGTCGTGACAAAACGTTTGACACACAAAAAAAGGATATGGTCACTTTCCAGCCTCTTTTCTCTTACTTCACCTTATCATGTGCAATATCAATTACACTGTTCAATAGCAATATTTCCGACGTGCAACAATGTGAATTAAACCGTGAAATACGGAAAATTATTAGAAAATATGCTCCAACTTCAGTGAATTGCCATCCAACAGAATTAAACATGGTAGATTCAGCAAAACATTGATGTTTAATACATCACAACATTTCAGTAGCCAGTGAGGAATCAGAAGAAGAAATAAAAAGCACACTTTGGCCCGTGATGACTAAAATGCTACCCCCCCCCCCCCCCCCTTCATTTTGATTAACGCCAAACATGGACAGTTCTACAATAGATGCCATACAGCTTAGAATCAGCCCAAGATATGGGATGCAATTATATGTTGATGTGACAGCATGTCTTAGTCTTAGAGCTTAGAGCTATTTATATAGACCGCCTGAAACAACATGGGGGGTTTCTGTAGTCCATCCTTGGAGCATAGTAGTTTCACCACAGCAGACCCTCATCAATAGCAGCCACCGTCACATCATCAGGATTCTGTAGCTCAGTGTAAGTGCAGTCGGGTTGTGTTTTCCTAAATCCTCATGATGTGTTTCCTTGACCTCTCAATGTTTTCCATCAAGATCAACGTGGTTAGGAAAATATATTAGGACGTGTTTTATGACTTTCCCGGCAGGCGGCAACCTCCTGATGCGGAAGTGTCTTAAAACCTGCATTCTCTCTAATGTCCAGCAGGGGGCGACTCCTCTGGTTGTATAGAAGTCTATGAGAAAATGACTCTACTTCTCTCTTGATTTATTACCTCAGTAAACATTGTAAACATGAGTTTATGGTCTCAGTCTCTAGTTTCAAGTCTTCTTCAATACAGCATGATGTTCATTTAGTAAATTATGGTCCATAAGAACTGAGCCGAACTTCTTTGTGCGACGCTTCGCTTCCAGTATGGGCCAAACAAAGCAACCTAGTACACGTAATCACATGGACTCTTGTTGGCATATGTCAATAAAAGGTGATGCAGGGGATGCTTTCGGGCGGGGCTACACGGTGATTGACATCACTCCTCCTCATTGCAAATATGATACCTTCCGTTCATCGGTTGCAAAAAAAACAACATGGCGACAGTCGTAAACCAAGATGGCGACGGCTAAATTGAGGCCTCAAAAACGTCAGTCCACAAACCAATGGGATCACGATGACTACGCCTACTTCTTATAGACAGAAACACATGTTTTTCTTTTCCAAGATGGCAGACTTTCTCTCTCACTTTTCCTCAAAGTCCGTGAGGGTTTTAGTTCTGTCCCACCGTCAAATCGTTGAGTGTTTTCACGGCTCTCTGGCTGACATTTGCAGCCCTTTATAAACACATTGTGTAAGTCTGCATGGGAATTACCCACAATTCATAGCATTGTGACGTTAAAGAAGGGATTACCAGGGGAAGCCCGGAGGCCTTTAAAAAAAAAAAGGTAAACAAAGAGGACGGCACATCGATGTTCAGCCTGGAATATCAACACAGAAACATTCATATTAAAGGAATAGTTCATCCCAGAATTAAACTCTTACCTGTTGTGATATTTATTAATCTAGATTGTTTTGGTGCGAGTTTGTCTTGTTTTGGAGATATCGGTCGTAGAGATGTCGGCCTTCTCTCCAATAAAATGGGACTAAATATTTCCCACATGCTCACAACAAGGTCTGTGGTTTTTGGGTAACCGGGTCAAGATTTCTGAAAAGAGACATGAATTTTATTTGCGCTTCGAGCACCACAAGCCAACAGCACTACAGGTAAGAGGAGAAATGTGCAGTTTTATTTTGGGGTGAACTGTCCCTTAGAGGACTGAGGATTACACATCTGGTTTATTTATCAACAATTTATTTTAATTGTGTTTATTGAAGCTGTTTTGACAAAAACAAGTAAATACATTATTTTACAATTACCTCTCATCGTGTAAGGCAAGAGATGTATAAAATATATAATGAAGACCGACATGTTACAGCAAAGTGCTGGCTTCAGGGTTTTATACACTGGGTTGGGCCCATGACTCCACTACATTTTAAGGTTTAGTGTTTGCTGCCCTCTACTGGTTAAATGGATAAACCGCAAAAATAGTTTTTTTTTTCAAGAGTTCAAAAAAATTATTATTAAAAGATATATTTTCAAACAACTTAATTTCACTGATTTCAGAAGTGGTGTAATATTCCATTAAATGTGGATGGTTAGGAGACAAATCATCTTTAAACATGTCAGAAGATCACATTTGAAATCAGTAGCAGACTATGAATCCATGTTAATGATCCTATTGATCTTAATCATTATATTAATATAAATTATTGTTATACTTGCTAATAACTAAACCCACTCCTGTCAGATCCCAACACTGTGAGGCCTGGGTGGTGATGAGGAGGTGGAGGGTTACGAGTAACATGAACGTACTAAAGGCAGAGAGACCATCTTATTTAAAAAGAGACAGCAGTGAGATGATACGCTGATGATGCAATTGTTTCGCTGTGTTATCGGACAGAAGAGACCAGCTGATCAGAACAGCTGATGTCATGATCAGAACAGCTGATGTCATGATCAACAGCACCAAACGATGACAGCATGCCTCAGAGGAGTGAAAGGCAGATTAATGAGAGATAACCTACAGGCCTAAGCATGTAAACATAGTCTCCCTGACTGAACTCATGCTACAGCTTCATTAAAGCCCAACACATACTGTAGACCAATATGTTTGCATTAAAGTCCATCAGAATCACTTCCTCTGGACACTGAGGGACAAACGTGATGCGAATCTGCTGCAGCTTAACAAATAAAACATAAATCTTAATTTCATGGCTACATTTTTCAATATGTAGCTTAGCACAGAGAACATCTGAATGATTCTTTAGTCATGGACTAGGATGTCTGGATGTTTAACAGCAGTGGACTCTGGTGGGTTGATGTTGTTCATCAGTCCAGTGAGACGGAGGCAGAAGGCTCTCCAGCGTTTTCATAGTTCACCGTACCGTCATCTTCATCTTCATCATCACGCTCCTGTAAACAACAACAACAACACACTTGAGATTCTGGGTGAACACGGAGCCAATAGATTTCTTTAGAAACACAGAGCCGCTCCAGAGGAACAGCTGGGTTCAGTGCCTTGCTCAAGGGGAACCAGAGTGCTGGTTGTTGGAGCAGATGAGAGCATTCACTTCAAACACACTCTTTATTTTAAAAGGCTTCCACTGCTCCACATTTACAGAACACACGAGGAAATCCAAAATGTCTTCTCATTCACCTCCATTGAACTGGATACATGCAGAGGTGTTGACTCAACTCTATGGTCACTTTGGAGCCTTTTGTTTGTTAGATTATGTTTCGTTTTGGTTGATATTTCTTATTTAGCTTCTCCCAATGAACCTTAAACCATAACTGTGAAATGATCACTTCATTTAAATTCATTCAGCACTGTTTATTCTCATGCTGCATCTTCATGTCTTTTGTAGATCTACAGTGAAAAGTAGATAACAAATATAACAAACAGTGATTTTACTCTGTAACGTCATGAATCACTGTTTAAACTCACAATGTTTTCTTCTATCAGAGTTTTGTTTCCTGAAAACACAAAAAAAGAGTTGACTTTAGTTTCAACGGTCAAATTGAGGTTCATCAGAACTTCTTGTTTCTAGAAGTTTCCTCCTGAATGTTGTCACCTGTAGTTCTTGTCCATATGTTGACTGTAACAACACTTATTATAAGTGCTGCTAAACCCACAGGAACAACGATCAACCTCCACCAGCCTGAGAAGAGAAGAGTTAGATATAGTCAGAGGGTTTCACGATGACGAGGTGTTTGTTAGCGTGTTCTTGTGCTGTCTCTATCTCTGATATCTCAACAAAGAGGTTTGTTGTCTGCATGTCTTTTCTAAATGTAAATGTATTCTGTTCTGTTCAGTCACCTTCTGGTTTCCTCTCATTCGAGTTGTTTTCAGATGTTTCGTTGTTCATCACTCCTGCAATGCAACAAACTGTACAGTTAGAAACAAACTCAAGCATCTGACATCATGATGAAAGAACGATGTGATTTAAAAAGCTCAAATATGAACAAATACTTTGTGTGATCATCCACAAGAGATTTTAAACAGCTCATCATATTCTCACCTGAGGACTGAGGAGGGCTGAAGGTGAACTGATGCACTTCTCTAGTGGACCTATCAGTCACTTCACATTTCAATAAAGACTTTGACTTCTGATCAAGGTGAGATTTTTTAATCCTCAACCTGGCTGAACAGATATATTGTGGTGTCATCTCATCATACTGATCACCCTCATAAAGCCACTTCACTCTGTGTCTACATGCTCCATATGTCCACACAGAGCAGCTCAACGTCACCTCATCATTGTTCTTCTGTTCAGTCACTGTTGGTGAAGATGGAGACGTTGTGAGAGACAACAAGAGTAAAATCACCTTCTTGAAATCACTGTCATCATAATTATTGTAATGTTTCAGTTTATTGTTCCAACAAGACGGTTTGACAACATCATGATGTAAATACTCACTGGTGACAACAGCCAGATGAAACACGTCTTCACCTTCTTGTTTTCCTGATCTGAACTGTCTGCAGACATATTCACCACCATCTTTATCTGTGACATTCTTCATAACCAGAGAACATTTCTCTGAAACATTCAGTCTGTCTGATTTAGCTTCTGCTTCAACAATCTTCCCATGTTCAAACAGCGGTACTGTATTTCCTGAACCAGTGAAGAGCCACGTAATAGAGTCACACTCATCCTGATCATGTGTCACATTCTTAAAAGGCAAAGTGACTTCATCTCCATCTCTGACAGTGAAGGATGAAGGTTCCACAACTGCTGCTGTTGAGAAAATGTAAAAAATAAACTGAAATATGAATATGACTGTAAAGTTTATTCATAGTGTTGCAATAAGTTTAAATAAGTTTAAATGTGTCTCACTCTTTGGTTTCCAAGAGTTAATAAACTCATCATGATGATACAAACAGAACCTGAACTCTTACCTCTAAAGCTCAACACCTGCAGCATCAGAAATGAAGACATCACAATCCATCTGAATTCAGCCATCGTGTTCCTCTCTTGGTTTCATGCTCTCGACTGTCAAAGTCTCCGACGCGCTGCTTCTTAAACACGAACGCAGCATCTACTTCCTGTCTTCACTTCCTCACGATGGCCCAATCCCCCCTAAAGCCTCAAACCCTGAACCCTGAACTGACGTCACCTGGTGAGTGGGTGAGTGTGAGACTGAGAGGGCTTGAAATGGTGTAAATATGTCACCATGAAAACGACATATTATGATGTATAACTGTGGGTATTTATTTGATACTTTTTCTCCCTGATTTGAACGTCTTCCAGACTCTTTCCTCACGAGATGAGAGGTCATTCATAATCTATTTACTTGTTTTTCTCAAAACAGCTTCAGTGTCAAAATCAAATATTTGATGAATAAATTAATAAATATCTTCTGATTTCATCTTTGTTTGTTCCATCTTTAACCCTTAATGTTTCTGAGTAAATGTAATATGACAGGCTGAACACGCGTGTGTCGTCCTCTTTGTTTACCTCTCCATGTGTCCACTGGTTACCCCGTGTTTAACGTCACATTGCAATGATTTGTGGGTAATTCCCTTAGGCAAAGTCTGCATCTAATGCTAACTTACGGAAAAAGTTCATAAAGGGCTCAAAATGTCTGCCACAGACATTTTGAGCCCTTTGTGACGTTTATACATATACAAGCACATGGTCTGTAAACAGACACATATATGCATGTACATGCACACATGCAGCTACTATCAGAGCCTGTTCACTCTGCAGGAGTGAGGTGTCACCAACCAGCAGGCCGAGAGGAAGCGATGTAAGACTGATTCTGACATCATCGTCTTTTTATAACTTCTAAAATATTCAGAGAGGAAACACATCAAGAGCTTAACACTTCAGTAGGTGTCACATTATTGCAGTTCTGAAGAAACAAATAATGACTTTAAGATTAAAGCTAATAACGCTGAGTGGCAAGACTCTTGTCCACTGGTGCCCTCTGCATCACTCCTCCAGTGGAGGAAACATGATGCGGTGCCACACAGGCTGCCCTACATGCTAGACAACCCAACAGAAGGTTCACTACGAGAGTTGAGCAGAGACAAGCTTGTAGTGTGGTCTGTGTGTTGGAGACAGAGAGAACAACAACACATTGTGTCATCATCTTGGTTTACTTTGTTTCCTGTTTTATTTTGAAGTTTCCTGCCTCTTGTGTCCTGTGTTTGTTTGACTTCCTGTCTCATTTAGGTTCATCCTCTGCTGTCTTTTCTTCAGAAGTGACAGATTATAGAACTAAAATCACTAACCATAACAAAGGTACGATTGTTCCAGATTCCATTAAGACTCAAAGCTCATTTCAATCAGAAACAAGATGCAGAAAAGATAATTGTTTATTATAAACGGATGATGTGTGATGAGAAAGTCTTTGGTGCTTGAACTCTACGGGGAGATTTGTAATCAGGGGGCGTCTGCTCTAAACCCCCCCCCCCCCCCCCGTGGAGTCCAGACACTATTGGTGGAGGAGGCTGATGAAATGATAAAGTTGATTGTAAAGAGGCACATTTGTGATTTGTGATATTGGGCCGTATAAATAAAATTGAATGTCATCACATGAGGTCCATGACATCAGAGACTGGGGGCTGGTGTTAGATTCGATAGAAAGCAGGAATCCGCCCTGGTTGCTCACCTGGTCGGGCAATGCACAGAAGCAATTTTTAGCAATGTTTGTGACGTGTTTACCTTTTTCCGTACCAATTTCATTTAGTTTTGTCAAAAAATTGTTTTTTTTTCTTTTGGAGCAATGAATGTTAATGTGTTAATAAATTGCACTTAATGGAGCTACAGTGTGCAGACTTTAGTTTATATTTTCATTGCTGTCTTATTTTGGTCCAGCTCTTTCCCACAGCGGTTTTTGGAATCTTATGCCAGTAAATCATTTTTTAAAAATCTTTATTTTTACTGACACTCTTCCTCTTGCCCCATTATCAGAACAAAATGGGAACAAAATCAAAAGTTGCAGACCAGATTCATGTTTCTGAAGAGGAAAGTCCTTTTTTATTTTAAAGACCTTATCACTATCCCCCGACGTTTTGAAGCCTCGAGTTCTACATTTTGGCTGTCGCCATCTTGTTTTTTTGCAACCAAAGGGTGATGCTGAAGTACAACTAAATGCTGATTTTTAGGCGACAAAAAAACTGTTTTACTGAGTTAGACTTCTATACAACCAGAGGAGTCGCCCCCTGGTGGACATTAGAGAGAATGCAGGTTTAAGACATGAAGCATTGCCTTCACTTTTCACAGCCGGATGTTGCTGATTAGTCTTTTTGAATCAGAAAATGTTTCGTCTTAATATTCAGCTTTACTTCAACAGCAAATACAAACAGATCCAGTCGGTCTGTGACAAACTGTCTGCAGACACAGATGAGAAGCCCTGCTGTCATGGACTTACTGTCACCATGTTGTTGTTTAAAGGTTGATCAAAACAATAAAAAATGATCAAACATAATGTTATGCAGCAGAGGAAAATTAAAGTTTGCCTTTGGATAATCCTAAAGACAGCATTTCTGACAACAAAGCAGAGCTGATCAACTTCTGCTGCCACATGAACATTAATACTGTGTCCACACTGCAGCGCTCCACAATATCTTGTTGAGACAGAATTTTACTAACAAATGTTGGTTTAGTGTAACGCTGGCTGGCACAGAACAGCAAGATGAGAGCAAGTCCAGAGTCTTTATTCCACAAAGAGGGAAACAAACTAATAAAGAAGAGTTTAGTGCAGGAAGTTCAGGTTAGAAATAAAAATGACTGGTGGCCAAAGCACTGTGAGCCTCACCTCATACCAATAGTGAAGGAGAGAGGAAATATGATGGTGATAGAATGAAAAATAACCCCAGTGACATGAATGCACTCAGCCTCTGGCTCCATCACCCAGCCGAGATTTATGGATTAAGAGACGGTTACATAACTTCCTATACAATAATTGGTAATTGGTGATGTGCTTTATAAAATTAATATCCTAAAGTGTGTTTAACTGCAAATATATCAGATTCCAAAGGATCCAGCCTGATACGCTTTAAAAAAGCGAATAAAACAATCACAAATCATGGTGCTTTGGGGATTTTCCTCCTCATCCACCTCTGATCATCATCCACCATTTTGTGCAAATATACAGGAGCGAATCAGATCAGATCATGACGTCCCTGTGAGCGGCGCAGCTGTCAGATTTGTACTTGTGGAGGTGAAGCACCTGGCGGGAATAAAACAATAAACGTGATCTGCGTTCCTGCTCGGACACGGCCCAGCACACGAAGAGAAAATCCGCGCCATCTCACGTGGAGGATTTGTAGGTTCAGCCCCCCCCCGCATTTTTTAGATTAAATAGCGTTGCATCCATGTATACATTCTCAATATGTTTACAGCGCGAGGCGAGTGCGGAATGCGCGTCCTGTGCGGGAAAAGTTGTGGGAGTAACCTGCGGTTTTGAGACTTTTGGAGAGGGCTAGGACTCTGGACAACCATGCACACGGATGTGGTGCTGCTCTTCCTGCTGGTTTGGATGGCCGGTGTGTCCGGACAGACGCGTCCGAAGGGACAAGTGCTGCAGCCATGCCTAAACGTCAGGTCAGTTCATTGTGCAGGAGAGGCTTGGCTGACTTCTCATATGCGTGCGTAAATACGCGTAAAGATGACACAATGTCATTTTAAATCGTATGTAAAATCTTACATTTCACACTCAACAGTCCTGCAATAAGATTAAACCCAGCAGTGGCAGATCAAGCCAGCAGCTCCAAAAAAAATACATCTTCATCCAAGAAGGTAAAACAAACTGATCTGCGTTTGGAAAAACGACAAGATAAATGAGTCTATTCCAGATTATACTATTGAATAAAACAGTTCATTCTTTAGCCTGGAAACAGCAGTTAACAAAACAATCTCAACTCAAGGTCCGCTTACAGGCTTGTTGGGAACTTTCGTCCGTATCACACGATCTTCATCATTTGCAATTCAAATTTTACATGAACCGCTCTGGTTTTACTTGATTATTTATCTCCAATATGCATACTATTGCTTTATTATAAATCATTATTGTTATTCAGCCATACAACACGCTGCTGCTTGAGGTCTGTTGATGTGTGAGCCTCTCATGCAGGGCTCCTACTGCTGCCTGCCTTAACACTATCACATGTTTCATATATCCTTTTATTTTAACTGCTAATTTCAGCGTCTGCTTGCACAAATGTCCTCTTGCAGCCATGTTTTCATTTGAGCGTCATTCTTGACCTTGGAAAGAGAATAATTTTAACACAACTATCAAGCAACTGCTGAGAGGGGATTTTAGTTTTAAGTTAACCCTCTTGACTGTTTTGGGATTGTTTTCTATTTAAAAATCAGATCTCAGATCTCTTTTTCTCACGGTGGGGACCAGTGATGAAAGTAGTGCATGGCGCTGAAGCATTTGGTTGTTGGAGGAGTAAAATGATTTTCCCTCCTCTGTCACCCTTCTGTCATGATGATGCCATGTTATTCTGATTTAGCTCCCAAAGAGCTTCTATGGGTTTAATATATCTGGCTATATTCTCAACAACTGAATTTTTTAACTAAATTGCAAAAAATCACGAGACAAATTAGCTGTTCAGACCATCATTAACTTAGTTTGGTTTTAAGTTGATTACATTATTACAAATCTGATTTTGTAGTATTATTTAGGTTATAATAATAAACATACACTAAACACACTATTGTTATGTGTTAATATTGTACATATGCAGTATATTATTACATGTAAAAGGTATCTCAGGTAGATTTTGAACGCCTCAAACCCCTTTTCATTCATTCAAGAAACTAGGGCCTGAAACATGTCTGTTGACAGTGGGCCGAATGCTCGGCCTCCGGTGTTGCTCCTTGCAGCTTTCTTGAGAACTGCACATGCAAACGACTTCACTCCCAACACTGAGCTTCCTTTGGTCCTCAGCAATACACCTGCCATGGCAGAGCGCGTCACACACCCAATCACGGCTATTCACGAGCAGAAAAACACCGGTGACTGTGCACGCTTGGTAATCAAAGCTCCATTTTTCAGCTGACAGCAACAAAAGGTGACGTGTGGCTGGTTAGAGAAATCAATCACTCTGATTACGTAACCTGTCATCTAAGCGTGTTAATGTGCTTTCTGAATTATTGCTATTGTTGTGGCTTTGGGAAAGGTCAGCCGGGCAGAAGGAAGGTCAGCAATTAAATGTGATTTTCAGTAAAACGCAAATGTAAAACGTTTAATTCTGTCTTTCTGCTGTGCATCTGTCAGAAGATACAGTTTGGGATTTGAGAAGCTTATAACTGGAAATGTACTTTACTTTAACATTGTTGCTCTATACAGCGACGAGATGCTCTGTGTGGCTTCACGGAGTGCTGTGTTTAATCAAATTTAGACACATTCCTTCTCCTACACATGAAATATAAATTTGTTAGCAATAAATCAATCCTATTCAATTCAATACAATTTTGAGCTTTAAAGACAACTTCCTTATTGGCAAAACCGTAGAATTACAACTTCGTGGTCCATCACGTGACGCCATCAGACCCAAAGACTTCTGCCCATTGACTTACATTTTTTTTTATATCTCCATTACAAGCCATTACATTTTCAGGTTGTCCGTCCGTGCGTATGTACGTTCGTTCCATTCTCGTTAACGCAATCTATCAGGAACCCCTTGAGGGAATTTATACAAATTCTGCACGAACGTCAACCTGAATTCAAGTGTTCAAAGGTCACTGTGACTGTAACGTTTGATACACCAATTATGAGAACTTCCCACAAATGTCTAATAGGATAAAATGATGAACTGCAAGGCGGCTAATCTAGTTCTGAGATTAATCTTCTTTCCAGTACAACCACTTAAATAGCTCTTATTTAAATCATTAGGTCCTAAAATTAATAAAAATGCACTAATAGCTGAATCCAGAGTTAGTGAGCTGTTGACAGGCGGAGTTAAAGGAAACGCTAGTGCGCTTGCTCTATGCGCTGCACGGATGGGGAAGTTCGCAGGAAGATCTGGGTAGTTGAACCATTTTGGCTTCATGTGCCACTGAGAAACTTTCATAGGAACGAACGAGGCCTCGCTTCCAACGCTGGATCCAGTTCTCTTTATACATCTATGGTATTATTGTGGAACTGACTTCCCTGTGTCAGTTCACCAGCTTCATGGATCTTCTCCACTTGTGCTACTGCTACTTTTGGTGTTAGTGTCAAAGTAACATGACGGTGCAGCACCTGAGTGTGAGGTTTAGTGCAGATATTGGAGGGTTTTATTAACAGCAGCTCTGGAAATAAAGATGTTCTCCAAGCTACTAATAATGAGGACCTTTATCATTTAAAAGCATAAATGGAGAATGATGACGCTAGAGGAGTAAGGCCGCATCGTGTAAAGCAGGACATGTACAATGCAGAATTAAAACGAAACAATGTTAAGCAGACAATCAGCAAAGGCAGTTAAAGCATGGCAACATAAGATCACATTAGCCTACATTACAGACGGTAAAACCAGACAACGCATTACAAGCTCCACCAATGTTTTGAAATGGGATACAATTTCTGTCTCCTAAGTGTTCAATGGGTCATAAATTTACCATTGAAGTTAACAGACTTAATGGGAGAAGCTAGTCTCCTATATGGGCGTAGCTGTGTAAACCACGGATACAGTGAAGTGACACTCAGTGGGGGTTTCTCCATTCTGAACTGGGACGCAATCTGAAAAACAGACAAAAAAGCCAAGCAAATGAGAGCAGACAAGGCAAGCAGGCAGTATAACAGCTTTTTAACAAAGTGTTAAAGGGAACATATCATGCTCATGTTCAGGTTGCAATATCCCGATCTTTTGAAGCATGGTTTCAGAAAACACATAATGAGCATTTAAGAAGCGTATGCAATACGCATGTTCACTTTCCCAGAACTAAAAGCCTTTTTCATTTTGTTTGTCCTGGCCTGCAGTTGACAGAAACCCGAGGAATTACACTGCTTGGCTTCGTGGTATGTCCCAGACTGTCCATTTCAATGTACGGTGTCAAGCAATCTGATGTTAATCTACTCAGTGTCCTCAAGTCAACTCAGTGTTAGGATCACAGGCCATGAAGTGAAGCAGACGGTGCCCCGACGGCCCGTCAGCTCTTTGACCTCTTTGTCTGTCCTCAATCACATGCTTAATCATTTCTCAGTTTCACTGCGTCCAAACTGATCGCACCGCCGATCCTCTGATTGAAGGACGGCCCTGACATAGTCACCCATTCGTTTGTGGGCTGCTGTTTTGAAGCCTAGAGTTCTCTATCTTGTTTTTAGTTTTCTAGTGACACTAGAGGGTGGAGACATTTTAGGCGACCAAAATTTTTCACACTGGGAAAACACAGTGTGAAAGGGTTCAATTTCTAAGATAAAAACACAACTCCCAGTCAGGACAACGCTGTGGTAGCAACCTGTCAATCACCGTGTAGCCCCGCCCTAAAGCATCCCCTGCTTTATGGTCTGTTTGACTCTAAATGGACCATGAGTTACTAAATGAACATCATGCTGTATTGAAGAAGACTTGAAACTAGAGATTGAGACCATAAACTCATGTTTACAATGTTTACTGAGGTAATAAATCAAGAGAGAAGTAGGGTCGGTAGGTAAATGAGCACACAAAATATTAGGCTGATGGGTCCGTTAGTATTTGAGATTTGCTCTAACAGACTCGTACCTTGAATCTTATTTTATTAGCTTTTCCCTCCTTTGTTGTAGAGTTCATGTTTTTCAGCTTTTTATGTAAGGGATAAGACTATCATGTCACAAATCTTTATTCTGTTTTTACAACTTGCCCCACTTACTTGAAGATTACGTTCACCCAATTTAGCGTCAGTGCTATTAAATATTGCATAATGCTTGCGTAAAAATGTTTCCCCCCCTTTCAGATCGAAAAGATCTGAAAGGGGGGGACAGAAGGATCCAGTCGCAAGATTGTCAGGTATGACGCACGTCTGTTTTTTTGATCGTTATTTAGTCCAATTAGAACGATAACAGGGACTAGAAAGGAGGATCTCATAGCGGAGATTAAAGCATCATGGATTTAGAGGCACATGGTCAACATTTTAATCACACTATTGTTTGCAGTATCTAGGAGGATGTATTTTACTAAGCCCAATATAATCCATTCTTATCCCTTAGAATCAGGAAATTCATAAGATGATTTTGCCTGTGCTGCATCAACTCATAAACAACAAGCTACGATGCACAAAGTCTCTCAGGTGTTCACAGCATAGAAGAGCTTATTAGCGGTAAAACCTTGATTCGTTGCTAAATAGCGACGGTGATTTGAAAGAGGCTTAAGAGAAGCATTCGTTACCGTCGCTGCCAGCAGCCGTCCACATGTTCAAACACTCAGGACAATTAGACTACAACACCTGTCCACCCAAACTGGATTATCTGCAACTGGGTAAAGTTTGACTGCATGTCATTTGTGTCATTAGAGGTGAAGGTTTATTATTAGTGTTGGGTCAGGATGCTGTTTTGATGGAGCCCTGTGTTATAGAAAAATTTGGCAGTTGATTTATATTTTGCACTAAACATGAGTTTATGGTCTCAATCTCTAGTTTCAAGTCTTCTTCAATACAGCATGATGTTCATTTAGTAACTTATGGTCCATTTAGAGTCAAATAGACCATAAAGCAGGGGATGCGTTAGGGCGGGGCTACACTGTGATTGACAGGTCGCTGCTACCAGAGGCGTACCACAGATACGTTAGGCTATAAAAGAACTCCACCACGGTCACATGACTTCACGTCACCACCACTAAGCTAAAGGATGACGTTTAGTCGTCTCATTTAGACACTTGTTAGCAACCGCCTTTTTCAAGACACGTAAAAGCTTCAGAGGGATATTTACTGGCTTATTTAATGTCATAGAACAAAACTTTAATGCATCTAACCAACCTGACCAACCTGACTCCGGGGCGAAGGAACAGGACGTTGTCAGGACTCATTCCTGCAGCACTCAATAACTCTGAATCCCTCGTCTGTCTTGGTGGTTAATAAATTAACTCTTTAATTGTTGTTTTCCAAACATTTCCATCAGCCCCATTTTCAAGAGGAGTCCAGATATAACTAAAGTCTGGGGTCAGAAGTCAGAGCAGCTGCTGAGTATAGACGACCACGACTTTACAATGCGACCAGGATTCGGAGGTAAGGAGGTTCATCTCATAAATGGATCATCTCTACTCGAAGATGCTTCAGTTTTTAATTCCTTCATTAGCCACATCAAGTGTTCTTTTAGACTTTACAGCAAACCCAAGCCCAGATCATTCGTGTCCGGCGCTGGCTTGTAAAGATGACATAACGGAGTGGGATTATTCCTAAATCATGCACCAGTGAGTAGTTACCAAGCAGCCACAGTCTGTAGCTTTAGGTTTCAATAACTCCCATTTTAATCTGCCGCACCGCTCAAAGACAGAATCGGGGTGCTTTTTAAATTCTCACACTTGCATTTCACCTAGAATCTCCAAACCTCACATGGAGTTCTTGGAAAGCTTTTACTCGGTTTTTATTGTTGTTAATTGAGTCAGGACTGAGTCTCATTAGTTGTTTATGTTAATGTATTTTAATGTTACGTGCATAGTGTGAGTACAAGGTGCAGTGCAACAGATATTTCAAAGCTCCAGTGAGCCATTCCGTCTGACAGCTGGTTGGCTTAAACTAATCAGCTTGTTTGTCAAGCAGGAAGGCACAATGTGTTGTTGTTGTTCTCTGAAGCCTGCATGAACTGGGAACACCTTTCCTGCTAGATCCACAGAGACATATTTAATCTTTGCAGAAGTTTAAGCTCATCGATGTGTTTCTCTTTTCACATGGCCGTGTGAGTCTCACTGCTCTCGCTGCACGCTACCTGCCCAGCATGAAACAGCAGAGAAAAAACGTGAACAAGAAGCTGGTGATAAAAAAAACCTGCATTTCTGTTTGTTTCTGAGTCTTTCTGCAGGTCGCTGTGGTGTCCTTTAACACCACTTTTGCAAAATGACAGGAGGCAGTAAACACTAATGCTGTACCCAAATCAGAAGTGTTTGGATTCAAATACGATTTGGATGTTCAATACGCAAAGTCGACAATTTTTTTCCTTTTATATATATTTATATCATATATACAGTTCAAAAATCTGATTGCATGAACTCCTCTCTCAAGCTCTCCACTTTCACTTTCCATGTGTACAACACCATGAATGCTTTTTGAGGAGAGACAGTTTGAGATCGTGAGCCGTTATCGTATCAATCATAGCATCTTATATTTCATGTTAAAAACTGTACAAGTTAAATTGAATGTCACAACAATAGAGAGTAAAACAACATCAACAAAAGCAACAAAAAACAACAACAGATGAAAGAAAGCAGCATGCAATTAGGATTAGAGTACTCACTCCGTTGCCTTCTGTGCCATTGTTTGGGAAATCTGCACCCGACTGCATTGATGGGGATTTGGATGAAAGTCACTGTGTGAAGCAAAAGCACAAAAAGGAGTCACAACCTCCAAATAACCACAGATAATCCTGACAGTTTAAAATGAGGCAGCGGGGCCACATCTGCACTCGTTGGCTCTGCTCAGACAGAGAGAGTTTTGCAGTTTGCTGCCGTTGTAAAATCTTTTATTGTTGCGAACACAAGCTGTATAAACTGTACGGTACCTAATAGTTAGCGGTGCAGTTTGAATTAGAGTTGAATTTCTTTTCAACTCAAGGCGTTCAGGGCGCTCCTGCAATAAAGCGAGGCGCATAGAGCGGAGAAAGTCGCTCAGCAACAAAAAAACCAACGAGCAAATACTTCACTCATGAAAACAAAAACTTGCGCCAGGCTGCCAAACTATTACTCCTGGAACTATTTCTTGCAAGTGGCAGTGAGGAAGTGCATTCCCACCCACCTGTTTTTGTGGACTTTTTGAATTTGCACATAAAAAACAATGAAGTGGAATTGCCGGAAATTCTAAAAGACCAAATATCACGAAACCTTTTTTTTTACGCTTGGCTAAAGTAGAAAGGTTGGTGTAATGTAACTTAACCAGTTCATGTTTGATTGGAGCTCTTAATAACGTCATCTTGTTGCCAAGTCGGTCTGATCTGAAACTGTCCACTGTTGTATTTCAACAGACACGTCAACACTACTGTAATTTAAAGCTTAATATTTCTCTGTAGGGCCTGCCGTCCCTGTTGGAGTGGATGTCCAGGTTGAAAGTTTGGATGCTATCTCAGAGGTCGACATGGTATGTCTGGAGCAAACCGTGAGTAAGGAGATGTTGTTGGCTGAGATAACAACGTAACAGACACGTCTATCCTTGTTTAAGGACTTTACTATGACGCTGTATTTGAGGCACTACTGGAAAGATGAACGTCTGTCCTTCAGAAGCAACAACAACCTGAGCATGACCTTCGATGGCCGCCTGGTGAAGAAGATCTGGGTGCCGGACATGTTCTTCGTCCACTCTAAGAAGTCCTTCACCCATGACACCACCACTGAAAACGTCATGCTGCGAGTTTACCCAGATGGCAAAGTCCTCTACAGCCTCCGGTAAATCACGCCAGTCAGCCAGGCCCGGCACTAAACATACACAGTTACATACATTTTATTATTATTAATAATTATTGTCAGTTCAGTAAAATCCTTGTAGTGGTTCTATTATTTTCCTTTATTCACTTAAACTTTTTTTTATTTTTTTTTTTTTTTAAATGTCATTGTGTCATTATGTGTCCACCAATTAATCGGCACGCATACAACGTTTTATTAATGCACGACAGACTTTAAATTACACTTTAGATTTGTATTATTTAGATAGTTTTGGGATATTCTTCATTACTCCTTGAGAAAACCTTCAAAATATTTCTGGCGATAAAGTTAGCAAACGTTTTGGTCCCAGAAACAGCAGATTTCGACCTCTAATGAATATTTTTTGAAAGCACCAATAGTCAACTCTACAATATCGATATCGAGGTATTTGGTCAAAAATATTGTGACATTTGATTTTCTCCATATCATCCAGCCCTACTATGAAAAGCCCAAATGTACTACAGTTTCACATTATGAATTTTAAGTGTTTGTTTTAGTACATGCAGTACATGTGATACCTCTGAAGTGGGGCAGGTTAGGATGTTAGTGGGTGTTCAGTGACGTAACTGTCGTTGGCTGCCCTGCAAAGACAAAGTGGCACCAGCTGCCACAGTACAAGATGTGTATTTAAGGGGATAACGTTCTGCCAATTACGGCCGCTAATGCCGCCGAGCAAGACCTCGTAATTTTGGCGAGCGATAGGAGGCTCGGGGCCAAGATAGTTGATTTGGTAATCCACATAACAGAGCCCGGCGGAGATTTGCTGCTGGCCATCTGCCTTCCTGTTGTGACCACTCAATCGTGGCACCGACATCCTGATGGACCGGAACAAACTGATGACATCAACATCTGCAAATCAGCATTCACTATTGATAGCGGGGGCATCATAGTATCTAAATGAGGGAATAGTAGCTGGATGGTAAGTGGTAGATATATACGCGCACTCGTCACATGGTCGGGGTTAATCTGTGTGGGGTTGGTGCTGGTTGGAGAGAGATTTCCCAGACTAAAGGCAGATTGGTGGGTGAGGATGCAGTGTCTTGTCCCATGAGCTGGATTATGTATTTTCATTCTCTGTGCTGGAAGCCAAATCTCTGCTGACCCACTCTGTATGTGCCCGTGGTTATGGAGGGGTAATGCTCTGCTAAAGGTTAGATGTGCATTACGGGCATATAGGGGAAAGCCATCAGCCTCTATTTACAGTTTTTATCAACAGACTTGGACCCGTTTTCAATCAAAATTAGAGTGCATGTGCGGGCTTTTGAAACATTTGAAAACTCGCTAAAAATAGAATCCTTTTCCATTGCCAGCAGACTTAGTCACAAACATAACAAACACGGGCGGGAAACTGTTTTTTTATTTTTATATCCGTCTTTCAAACTCAAACCAGAGTTGGTGGTTGTTGGAGCAGGGGAAAGACCAATAAAGACGTTTTTGACGAGTTTTATTTTGTTTCTGTCGAGCTTGAATTAAGTGTGTTTTACTGTAATCGGCGAGTAGAATGACTGTTTCTGTCAATGGAGTCTGGTATCTTTGAGGAGAGCATGTAACAGCTGTTTCTTTTCACATCTAACTGAATGAATTAAGGGTTTCTTTGGACCAAACCAGAGCTAGAACTAAAAATCTGAAATAATTATTTATGTGGTGACATTTTCTTCCATACATCACCACAGCTTTGTTTTGTCATTGCAGGGTGACAGTCACATCCATGTGTAGCATGGACCTGAGTCGCTTTCCTCTCGATACACAGACATGCTCTTTGGAGATAGAGAGCTGTAAGTGACGCGATGTGATCAAACTTGATGTGGCTTTTCCTCTCCTCTGATCATTCCTGCGACTTCTGTAGAAAGTAGTGAGATATTTATCCTTCTATCATGTTTATGTGACTATGTCAAATCAAGGAAATGTTGTTTTAATATTTATAAAAGACTGTGAATTTTTGTGCAAAAGATCCTTCATGTATGCTCTTTGTTTCTCCAGATGCATATACAGATGATGACCTGATGCTGTACTGGAAGGAAGGGAACAGGTCACTAAACACAGACGAGAAAATTTCCCTCTCGCAGTTCCTCATCCAGAAGTTTCACACCACCACCAGGCTGGCCTTCTACAGCAGCACGGGTACTGACAGGAAGCACGGAGATGTCTTCTAATTTCAGGCCTACAGCCACTTGGGTCTGCGTGACCTTTAACATTTTTTTCTCCTTTCCAGGCTGGTACAACCGTCTGTACATCACCTTCACTCTGCGGCGTCACGTCTTCTTTTTCCTGCTGCAGACCTACTTCCCCGCCACTCTGATGGTCATGCTGTCCTGGGTGTCCTTCTGGATCGACCGCAGGGCCGTCCCTGCCAGAGTACCACTAGGTGAAGCTTGGTTTATGATCACGCTTGGCGCCGTATGTTGGGAGGCGTTTATAGTCTCTGCGCTGTGCAGAGAGTACAGCTGCAAAATATTTAGAGGTGCACGACCAGGCGCGCGCGCCACGTGCCGGCCGTGATTACGTCATTTGCGTCAGTGCCTTGCCTTTGTTAGCTAATTGGTGCGGTGGTTAGTTTGGTGATTGCTGGCTCAGTTCTAGCTTTATATTGTTTCTCTCAAAGCCCACAGATGAAGATAACGAAATTATTTAAAGGTGCTGTATACAAGATTGGGAGCATCTTAACTGCTCTCAACATGGCGAAGGTTGAGCCGGCGGCTCGCGGCTAACAGCGAAAATTATGGCGACTGACAGGGCTGACAGAGTTTACCTGAGGGGGAACCGGAGGGTGGATGCTATCAGGACGGCATTATCAGCTGTATCCGCCGTGTGAGAGTAGTGCGCTAACCAGTGGGGCACGCTCACGTGCACTAAAATGCAGTTAAAGCACGTGGTCTATGTCAACAAAGCAAGGAGAAGCTTAGATTGCGTTTACCTTTCAATTAGCTTATGCTAAATGCTAGTACTATTGCCAATCACTAGCATGCTGGCAGTCATTATGATGGTGGTTATGTAAGTGCTGTTATAGTGACAAAATACAGTATGAACTCAAATTTTAGTTTACATGTAAAACTTAGATATACAGTGGGTATGGAAAGTATTCAGACCCCTTTAAATTTTTCACTCTTTGTTTCATTGCAGCCATTTGCTAAAATCAAAAAAGTTCATTTTATTTCTCATTAATGTACACTCAGCACCCCATCTCGACAGAAAAAAACAGAAATGTAGAAATTTTTGCAAATTTATTAAAAAAGAAAAACTGAAATATCACATGGTCATAAGTATTCAGACCCTTTGCTGTGACACTCATATTTAACTCACATGCTGTCCATTTCTTCTGATCCTCCTTGAGATGGTTCTACTCCTTCATTGGAGTCCAGCTGTGTTTAATTAAACTGATTGGACTTGATTAGGAAAGGCACACACCTGTCTATAGAAGACCTTACAGCTCACAGTGCATGTCAGAGCAAATGAGAATCATGAGGTCGAAGGAACTGCCCAAGGAGCTCAGAGACAGAATTGTGGCAAGGCACAGATCTGGCCAAGGTTACAAAAGAATTTCTGCAGCACTCAAGGTTCCTAAGAGCACAGTGGCCTCCATAATCCTTAAATAGAAGAAGTTTGGGACGACCAGAACTCTTCCTAGACCTGGCCGTCCAGCCAAACTGAGCAATCGTGGAAGAAGAGCCTTGGTGAGAGAGGTAAAGAAGAACCCAAAGATCACTGTGGCTGAGCTCCAGAGATGCAGTAGGGAGATGGGAGAAAGTTCCACAAAGTCAACTATCACTGCAGCCCTCCACCAGTCGGGGCTTTATGGCAGAGTGGCCCGACGGAAGCCTCTCCTCAGTGCAAGACATATGAAAGCCCACATAGCCCGCACAGACTATGAGAAATAAGATGCTCTGGTCTGATGAGACCAAGATTGAACTTTTTGGCGTTAATTCTAAGCGGTATGTGTGAAGAAAACCAGGCACTGCTCATCACCTGCCCAATACAATCCCAACAGTGAAACATGGTGGTGGCAGCATCATGCTATGGGGGTGTTTTTCAGCTGCAGGGACAGGACGACTGGTTGCAATTGAAGGAAAGATGAATGCGGCCAAGTACAGAGATATCCTGGAAGAAAACCTCTTCCAGAGTGCTCTGGACCTCAGACTGGGCCGAAGGTTCACCTTCCAACAAGACAATGACCCTAAGCACACAGCTAAAATAACAAAGGAGTGGCTTCGGAACAACTCTGTGACCATTCTTGACTGGCCCAGCCAGAGCCCTGACCTAAACCCAATTGAGCATCTCTGGAGAGACCTGAAAATGGCTGTCCACCAACGTTCACCATCCAACCTGACGGAACTGGAGAGGATCTGCAAGGAAGAATGGCAGAGGATCCCCAAATCCAGGTGTGAAAAGGTTGTTGCATCATTCCCAAGAAGACTCATGGCTGTACTAGCTCAAAAGGGTGCTTCTACTCAATACTGAGCAAAGGGTCTGAATACTTATGACCATGTGATATTTCAGTTTTTCTTTTTTAATAAATTTGCAAAGATTTCTACATTTCTGTTTTTTTCTGTCAAGATGGGGTGCTGAGTGTACATTAATGAGAAATAAAATGAACTTTTTTGATTTTAGCAAATGGCTGCAATGAAAGAGTGAAAAATTTAAAGGGGTCTGAATACTTTCCATACCCACTGTATGTATGTTAGCGATTAGGATTAGCACTAGCGATTAGCATAAGTCGTATGTGAGGGGGTGATGAAGGGGTGACGAAAGCTGCCTTAATATAAGTCACTTGGCTCCAGATCAGCCAATATCAAGATTCAGTTGCCATAGCCGTGTTTCAACCAGTCGCTATGCATGTTTATAACTGAACTAGACACTAAAATGTCAAGATTTGGACTTGCACTACACATTGCACATATACGTTGGGGATTGGGGATTTAGTTACTCTTTAAACAAGCTTCAACTTCTGCATCATTGGGACTTTAATATTGGCAGTCCCACAACTTCTGTAATCTTTAAATGGCAGTTTTATCAACTAAAATTTGTATTTGGCACTTTGTGTGAGTCCGTATTTGTACATACCTGCCACCATGGTTGTATTTAGAGCAAGTAGCAGCTTCTTAAGTAGAGGGAATAGTACTCTACTCTCAGATGAATGTTTATCACTTCCAACGTCAGATATGAGGCCGGTTTGACTTTCTCTGCACTTGTTCTCTGTGCTTCAGGTATAACCACGGTGCTCACCATGTCCACCATCATCACTGGAGTCAACGCCTCCATGCCCAGGGTGTCCTACATTAAAGCTGTGGACATTTACCTCTGGGTCAGTTTTGTCTTTGTGTTCCTGTCGGTGATAGAGTACGCTGCCGTCAACTACCTGTCTACTCTACAAGAACGCAAGGAGAGGGTCCTCCGAGAGAGGGTGAGCATCGAGTCATCTCATCTCCATGCTCATAGAAGCCAAGACGTACATGTGCATTTACTAAAGTTATAGTTTAAAAGCACCTTTTTTTTTAACCAGGCTAGTGGTTCTAGGGATGACAATATTGTGTGGTTGGTTGCTTTGGTCTGTCAATAAAGAAATATCTCAACATGAAATTTTGCGACAGATATTTAAGGTCTCCAGAGGAGATGTTGTGAATTTTATTGTCCGGTCAGAATTAAAATTTTAAATCACATACCTGCCAAATTCCCATCAGCCTCAGCTGTACTTTGTGTTAAGTGCTAATTAGCAAATGCAATGCTGAAAATGGTAAACACGTTAGCATGCTGATTAGCATTTTGCTCAAGAGCCGCTAGCAGTAGACTGAAGACAAGTTTAACCTAAATACTATTGAGCCAGTATATATTCAGAATTTGAAATGAAAAATGATAGGCAGTGAACTAAATTTGCCAAATTGAATATTATAATTTTCTACTTTTCTTAAGTGAAACTGTACAATTTTTAGTACTGTTTTTTCGTGCTGCATTGCGGTGGTCACTACTCTGCAAAAGTTACATCTACTCAAGTAATTTATTGTCTTATTCATAGTTAAAATCACATTTATCCAAAACAAGATTAGATAATTAAAACAACCTGCACAGTGTCAGTTTGAGTTCCAAGATTATTTGAATTATTAACAAGTTTTTTTGAACACGTGTTTTAAGTACTTTTTTGTCTACCTGCAGCTGCCGTGTACCTGTGGTTTGGCCCATCCTGGCATGATGTCAGCCAGCTACAGTGAGGTGGACGCCAACACGACGGGGAACTACGGCCTGCCGGAGGAGAATGGGATAAAACGGCAGAGGATGCTGGTGCAGCTGGTGATGGAGAGCGACCAGATCACCGGCCACGTCGGCTCCACCGCCTACAGCAAGGTCGGGATCGACACGCACATCATAGACAAGTACGCCCGAGTCCTCTTTCCTGGATCTTACTTCTTCTTCAACATCATCTACTGGTCGATCTACTGCTAACACAGATGGGACTCGAGCAGACCTAACATGACTTCTAGCAGACGTGTGAAAAATCTGCCTCACTGCTCGTCAAAGTGGTTTACAGACGCACTTGTGCTTTAAACTTGCAGATTTGGGTTTTTTTGTCTTCAAATTTGAAAAAAGAAGATGGAACTAGGGCTGGAAAAATTCCCCTGATGTGAAAATCATATGTAATATTATTGCCTTTTTGTTTTTTTTTACAAATTATCTAATTTATCCTGATTTTAGTGTAATATAAATAAGCTTTATTGTTCGGCTATTATAAGGTATATTGTTGCTTTTTAAATGAAAGATGACAGTTTTAATAATGACTTTAACTAATTAAATACTTGTTTAATGGAGAACATAGCAGCGATTTGAAGCGCAGCGATTTTTTTCAGGTGAGCGTAATATCCGCAGAAGTAAAACCGTCGACACAAGGTAGAGTACTTCCCTTCCCGCGCCTCCTCCAGTTGTGATTGGACGACTGTGGAAAAAGTGGCAGTGACGAGCACGGCTTTTTAACCAAAGATGAACATTTTTCAACTCTCAGCGCCTCGTCACGCTGCTGGCTTTTGTAGCATAGTATGAATACGCTGCTGCGCTCCAATAGAAAATCTTTTTTTTTTTTTTAAGTAAAACATAGCGGTTGTGGCAGTTGCTTGCCATCCTTTGTGGTTGGCTTGCAATATTGCGTTTATTGCGACAGCCCGAGATGCAACAGTCCAATTCAAAGAAAGACTCCCAAAAACACATTCTACTTCACCTCGGTCCTCGGGTCTCCACTGGACAGAACCTCAGAGGACGTTTGTGGACAGCTATGTCTGGACATTTTGAAAGTAAGAGGTTGTTATCTGCCAGTTGTTCAGGGTTTTCCCCAACTGGTCCAGAGCTTAATAAACTCTTCAATCAAGGGCTAAAAACTAATTCTAGGCAGTACATCAGTAAATACAGTGATGGAGCCTATGGTCCATTTGTTTTTGATTTAGTTGCTGTTTTTTTGTTGAAATTAAAGGACAGGTCCATATTTTACTCCAAGAGCTCTATTTTAACTAAGCAAATGGAAAGACACTTCTTCAGGAAGTCCCATTGTGGTCTGGATGACAACATATGTGTTTTTTCATAATTTCATCTATCTATTCACCATATGCTGCCCCAGTATGTTTTTTTCATTTCAGGTTCTTATTTGTTCATCTAGTTTTTAAACAATGACTGATATTTGGGAACATTCAGCACCTAGACTGTGGTGATCGGATGGTTTTAGTGAACCACATCCATCAGCCAACAGTGACTGGGAGGACGGCATATACAAATGGTGTGAAATCAGATATGAGGACATTTTTAATGACTTTGTAGTCTCTTGGTGTTGATGGCTCCACTATGAGGAACTAAAAATGTACCGAAGCTGAAAAAGTCTACACAGAAAGTTGAAATTTCTAGATACAAGTTACTCTAAAGAGTAATTAGAACCAGGACTGAGTGGGGCAGACTGTCAGACCTGATGCAGTAAAACGAGAGGGACTCTGGGGCTCAGAAACACTACCACGTTTGTCCACAGGGGCCGCCAAAATCAAAACAAAATGAAAGTTCCTTGCAGTAGCTTTAATCACAGCTTTTTTTTAAAGCTTTTAAGCAGGTAAAGGATGATGAAGCTAACAACGCTAAGCAACGTAATCTTCACTTCCACTTTAACATGGAAGATTAAAAAAAATGACGCAATACAGAAGCACCCTGGTTCAGCCAAAGAATAAGGTCAATAAAAAAAAGAACCTGTCTGTCTGTCCACAACAAACGCTCCGAACAGGCATTGCACTAGTTAGTCCAATGATGATAGAAATAAATAATGAAAAATAGTTGAATTAAGCCATTTATATGATCATGTCAATCTGGCGCCATTTCAGACATAATTCTGCTGTATTTTATGTTATAATTTATATCTTAAAATGTGACAGAGGAGTAGTTTCTGTAATTAAACGCTGGATTATTTTCAAGTTGGAAAAAGAGGATAAATATCGCATTATTAGGCAGAATACTGAGTTATATAAAGGTGTGTGTTTACTATGTAGCAGCACGGGCCCTGTTCTTTATATGCGGACAAATGAGGAATCCAGATTCGGATGAGCTTTGAGTCGGGACTTACTTCAAACCTCCAAATCAGCAAAAGTGCAAGAGGTTTTAGGATGAACCCTGTGTATGAAGTAATAAATAGAAACAAATGGCTCTGTTTCTTCTATTTATAATAAAAGAGAGTTGATATAAATGGGACTTTAGAAGAGAACATGCAGGTTATTGATAAACTATTATCATCAATCATTAAGAGATAACATTTCTATTTACAATCAACAATTAAAATGATGAAGGCAAATGACAAGGTAGTACAAAATGTAAACCACACTTTGGGGCTTCAGTTTTACCTCTTTACTTAAGACTTCGTTAAACTTATTTCTTCCTTTTTACATAATGAACCAAAACACAGACAATGAGGATGATAATAAAGAGAATAAATATAAAAACAGGTTGAACTGTACTTGTGTAGTAGAGGACGACTGCTGGTGCTAACTGTGGAGCGGTGTGTTTGTAGGATGGATTTGGTAACAATGGTGAAAAGTACTTGAGTTGAATTTAAAGTACCTCAAGGCTCAAGTTTCACTACCAAATGTATTTGTTCTGTTTTTAGTCGCAGTCATGAACAGAAGGGCGTTTTCATATTAGGTGCGGTTGATTCGTACCTTGTCCAGTCGTTAAATGTTAAAGTTTGGTAATTATTAAGAAACACAGAATCAAGGCTAAGTTTGCCTTTAAACAGCAGCTGTTTGTGGTGTTTTTTTTAAGTCAAATCTTCAGGGTTTCATGGTTATGCGTCATTGTTTTATCCTTTGACCTGTTTCTAGATATGCTTGAACTTACACTTGGTAGTAGGTGAAGCTTTTTTTCTACTTTCACGTCTCCATCTCTTGAAGCTCTTCTCATCAACATGTTAAATCATGTAATTGGTAATTCGTACAGAATTCTTGATTAAAATGTTCTTTCTTAGAGTAGTTTTCCTCCGACTGCAAAAACACCACTGACTCGACTAAGAAAAAGATACGACTGCGATGCAGGTCAGCGGAACATCCGACACGTTGGAGTCAAATGAAGTCTGTTCGATCAACAGGCAAACATTTTTACGAGGGCTGGTTTTGAAATGTGTCCTTCTGTTGCTTTTTAAGGTTATATAATGTCTGCGGTGACATCTGTCGTGGCTTATGTCAAATTTAAGACAAAGCCGAACCGGCAGACATGGTAGAAATAAACCAAGAGCTTAGTAAAATCATTGTAAACAATGAAAAGGAAAACAACAATCTCTATCCACTGCTAAAAAAAACCCAAAACAGATTAATGATTTGACCATGAAGTAAAACTTCTGTTAGGACACAGTTGTGATGAAAGAGACTGTCATTTGGTGATTGTCGTGTAGTAGCTACATTTAGATGTAAGAGGTCTTCTTGATGGATAATTCTGGTTTATTACAACCTATTATTATTATAGTTTGTTCACTATCGGTATGACTTTGAGTTGTGCGCCACACCACAGACTGTATATAAGAAGCTACACACACAACGCTGCGCACTGTTTAACCAAAATTTGTTTCTGAGAAATGCCAAATGAAAGATGAAGGAGAAAGGATGAAGGGCAATACTTAATCACAGGAGTATTCATTTAATGAAGGCCGTAGCTGTACATACGTACTGTATAGAATTAACTAAATGCATGAGAGGAAAGATTTTAACTGCTACATTTTCTGTCCCTGCTTTTGTCTTTCATAACGTTGCGTGCATAATTATTCATCCACAGGCCTGGTCAGGTCTGTTTTGACCACGTGTCCGTCTCTTTGTCCCCTCAGACCAGCCAGGTAGACCTGAGGTTTGGGCACGTTGCTCTCGCCGTCTCGCTTGCTCTGACAGGCCGCGTTCTTGGGCAGCCAGGTCTGAGAGACGTTTTCCCGTCTCATGTGGCTCATATCCGTCTGCACCGAGTGCGTCACTTTGGTCCTGAGATCAGCCTAGAATTATGGCATAAATATATATATATAGCTGCGTTTCTTTTAATCTTAATATCTTCCCATAAACCTAATTTGCATGACAAAGAATTGCATGGAGTGAATTCTGGCTCACCAGTTTGATAGCTTTTCTCCGCAGCTCCCACTCGCTCCACTCGTATGACTTGACGATGTTTGTCTCCACCGGGTGGACGTCTGTCTGTGTGCCGCTCTCACACCTGGTGACGGGCTTCGCCAATAAACTCTCTCCTGGCTGAATCTGCAAGAACCACACGGCAACAACTCAAACTCCCAGTGAAGTCAGCGTGCAATACTGTCAGCCAAAGTATCCTCCATACTCCCACCAGATGTAGGAACAAACTACATAAATAAAGTAGAAGAAATAAATAAAGTAAAGAATTTCAAACCCTACATGTAGCAGAATGAATAGTACTCTGAGTGAGTGCTTTCAGCTCTTCACATACATCATAGGTGTCCTAACTATGGGACTGTGTACTTTGAGGATACTCGATGCTCACCTCGGAGTAAGGACTGACGCAGGACAACTGTTGGTGCAGTTTGAGGAGCTGAATGAGTTCAGGGGAGTGCTTGGCTTTCTCTGTGACCTCTGCGATGAAGTCGTCTGGACTGGAGGCAAACTTCAGGGCAGCCTCTTTGGAGCTAAAAACATAGAGCTTCTCCTTGTGTTGAAGGACTCCGATGTGTGGATTACCTGCAACATTGAGGATGCTCTTCATATAGAATCCCTCCATACAGAATATATTGTGTATATATATATATATAGAAAAAGATTAGAGGGAATAACCAATGTTACCATGACATTTTACACATACAAGGATAAGAATTGGCAAATGTGTCCCAAACACAAGGAGTAGAATTGCTCGCTGCTTCGTGCATCATGAGAACAGTACCTGGGAGTAGAAGCCCATCTCTGTTCACAAGCGTGTAGCCACAGACTCCGTTATACTGCAGTGGCAGCTCATTGAAACTGGCCGTTGTTTCAGGCAGGAGCCATTCCTGTGTCTTCATCTCAGCCGGAACGATAGACTCATCTGGAAGGCATAATAAAGCAAAACAACCACATTTAAAGGGAAACCCATTCTGTTTGTTATCGTGTCTAATGAAGTCTCGCTCAAGGGGAAGTCTCGTTCTAAAATCTCGTTAGATAGCACCAAGCTACACTTTCTGTACTCTTAACAAAACAAACTAATTCCCGGTACTCTTCTCTCCAACTCTCACTCACGTTTCACGTCTTTCTAGATCTCAGAAGGAGACTTCTCCTTGAGCGAGACTTGGGTCGAGAGAGGTAAATAAAAATGTTTATATCTCTGTAGGGTTCCTACCATAATGTTGTCAGACACAAAAAACAATCTGAGCCTGTCAGTGGCAAAAACAAACTTTTAGTGGACGTACATTGATGGTGAGGCCTGAAAGGATTACGTTGCATTGTTTAGCGGCTGCAGCGCACACCTCGCGCCTGCTTTACCACGGAGAGAATAAACCACGCTTTACACACCAACTGCTTCCATACCTGAGGACTCGGCCATTCTCTGGTCGTCTGTCTTCACCTCGGACGCCTCCAGCAGGCCGTCCAAATACGCCTCAGAAAACATCTTGGCCTGAGAGGCAACAAAGGGCTGCAGGTTGTGCATGATGTTGTTGAGGATGTTCAGCAGCTCGGCCTCATCCTGAAGTCCAGACCACAGCTGTGACAGGGACTTGAACAGCGGCTGAAAGACAACATGAGGCGTGACCGAAATGAGGCTAAAATAATAAAAGAAAACTATTCCTTTAAGACAAAATACAACAGAATAACAAGAGCAAAATAACAGAAGGGACCAAGACACTTACAAAAACCTTTGCAGTTAGTACAGCCGTCTGGGATTTCACAGTTTCTTTCAGCATCTTCATCTGTGATGAGAGCTCAGTCTGCAGGATCTCCACATGCTTGGCACATAAACATGCATCAGACTGGTGGTAAAGGGAAAACAAAGTTATTCTTCAACATACATTTCACTCTGAGACATAAAACATGAATTCACCTGCCTTCTTTTGCTCAATGAGCTGCAAAAATGGGTGTTCCTCATCCTCTAAACTCACATTATATTAGTAATAGATATGAGCTACATGAAAATACCGCATTGACACAAACCGTAACTCTGTGTTACCTCACCAGTAACATTTTGAGGAACACTTCATGCTGCCTGACGTTGTAGAGCGCCTGTTTGAGCAGGACAACGGGCACGTCACGTCCACCAGGCTGACTGTCACGGTCCGCTAGCTTCTCCAGCAAAGCGGTGTATTTCCACGCTACAGTCTGTGATACACTCAGCTCGTTTTCAACGCTTCTACTGGTGACTGGAATGGCTTCGTTGAGAACCGCAGGCACTGTGGAGAGAAATTGATTATTGTGAAGAAGTCTGAGGATGTTGTAAAAGATACAAAATGAAAAGCTTTCACTCTTGGTTGAATAAACATGACACTTCTCTGGACAAACTAAACCTAAATCTGTGTAGTTGCAACTTCGTGGAGGCAGAGAGGCAACTGTTTGCACCTCAGATTTGAACCTCAATTCCCAGAAATCCTCTAATGGATGTCAGCGACCTCTCCACTGAATGCTGCTAATCTTGCCACCTTTATACCTGCTCAGCTAGCAGGAGTAAGACATTCTTCCCTGAACCAGCCAGCCCCACTTTACTCAGAAGAAGGTATTTATTACATAAAACCTTGCAGAATCCTTAATGTAAATATTCTGCTAAGCACCTTATCTGTCAGATTTGCAAAAGGCACATTGTCTGTAATGTAACATGTTTGTTTTTCCGTCAGTGGCCTGGATTACTGTACTTAGTTCACGGAGGTCAGTCTCCTCGCCTCCCTGCTTGCCGGCTTTGTAGAAGAGTCGGATCCCTGTGACGATCATGGTGAGCTCGTTGAGCTGCTGCTCCTTGTCCCTCTTTAAGAGCACCATGAAGGCTCCCAGTTCAGTCTGAGGGAAGACGCTCTGCAGGGCCGCTGGGACAAGAGGACGAGAAGAAGCCAAGAGTCGGGATACAGTTGGTGCATAATTTACTCTGTCTTCTTTTATGTAAGTTGCTGCATCCAAATAAGTCTGAAGTTGGGTTCATAGTATGTTGAGAAGCCGGGAAACATAAGTGAAGTGGCTCAACATTTTAACATCAAGCCCCCCATAAATGTCTACAAAGCAATGCATGATTTCAAAGCTGAGAGGAAACTCGTGCTGTCTGGGGCACTGACACATCATTTGATCGTTTTTTTTAATGAGTGGCACTCCCCTTCATCCTGTACCATTACTGACTATAGTTCCCCACAAGCTGAAAGAATAAGTTAAAGTGAAACCTGCAGCCTCATGCAAAGCATTGTCGTCCGTAGGCGAGCCCATGCCGGACCGCAGCTGGATGTAGGTGATGATTTTACGGTACAAAGCGTCCGATTCGTCCCGTGTTTTCACTCTGCTGTCAGTGATCTCTCTGCTCACCGCACTCGGCCTCGACTCCGCCACGCGGTGGATTTCCTCAAGAAACTCACCTGCACAAACACAAGTAGCTGCTTAGTCATGATATTCATATTATAAACAAATGGGAATTTGAATTTTTCTGCCTTTAAATGTTTTTGTGTTAAAATATGCAGTCCTTTAAACATTCTAAATTGCTTCTAAAAACAATTTTGATTATGAATTAATTGTTGGTCGTATATCGATCCAAATGTTAGAATATTGTCTGATTTTAGTTTCTACAATGTGAAGGTTTGCTGTTCTTCTGTCATAAATCAAACAAAACACTGACAGATTAATTGATAAAGATCATCAATAATGAAAATAATCTTGAGCTGCAGCCCTCTAAGTGGCTAAACTATGCATCAAAAACTACATTCATAAAGACAATACTTGTAATCCATTTGGATTTAATGCAATTGAGTTTATTCCTCATTATGGAAACAGAGGGTTTGTCATTTCATACAACGCTTACGTCGGGAGGTGTAATTCATATCAAAATACACCTGCATCTTGATCGTGTCAAGGGACGGGCTGAACTGGTCCATCAGTTTATCCAGACACAGCTGCAGGGAACATGGCAGAGGGAGGTAAGGAAAATAAAAAAAACAGGTGTACTCTTGCAGGTCAGTACTCACACTGTGTGTGTATTCACAATGTGTGTGTATTCACTTATAGATCATAGTGTAGTAACTCAGTCTAACGACATCAAAATGAATGTCAACATACTTTCGAATATACGACCATAGAAACTTGAATAAATAATCTAATTTATTTCTATTATAATCATGGAGGTTGGGGGTTAAACTAAATAAATAAAATACAGTAACTCACCTCTTTGAGTTTCTGGACGTCTTGTTTCGTCAGTGTTCGATCAACATTAAACCCATTTCTTGGGTCCAGCACCACAGCTTTCACCTGAGAACATTAAGAAAGGAAACAAATATATATAAAGCTATAGAGTATTTATTGCACACAAAGAAATCTGTGCAATACTACAATTATTCTGTCTGTATATATATATTTTAGTTATTTACTTTTATGTTCTTTACAGTTTTATTACTTATTTATTACTTGCTTTGATCTTGTTTTTTTACTATGTCTCTTGTTTGCACTATGCTGCATGTAATCCTGTACATTTCTCCACTACAGGACTAATAAAGGATTATATACATATTACATATCTTAAAGCAGTTTATAAAACAGAGCTGGGAGCCACTCATCAAGCTGAGGTTTCCAGAGGGATAGTTCAATATTTTACACCCAATAAGTTAAAAGTCTTTTGCCTGTATTATCACTCAAATGAGACATAAAGAGAGTTGTAACCTTAACAAGCTTCACTGACCATGAAAGCCACCAAAGTGTCCGTCACCACGTGTCCTCTCAGTGCGCACTGCTGCACTATTTCACCAATAATGTTCTTAATCACGCTGGCGCGCGCTCTGGACTTCTCCACCGACATTTAAGCAATTTATCTTATCGCTAAAAGGTTCACAGTTAATTGTTACCGATAACAGCTGAGCTGGCTACGTCCACAACAGTCTGTTGATAACTGGTTGTCACAGTAACATCGTGTGCGTGCGCAATACTGAGGGACGTATGACGTGAACGAGTCCAGTAGAGCGCGCTATAGATCGTGGGGTCCATGTTTACTTCCGGTCAGAAAATAGACTGGGACACGTGTGGAGCGTATACAACTGTGAAATAGTTTATTATTAAAGTACTGACGCTCAGTTTCTGTCATTTAAAAAGGAACGTCAATTATTTATCAGAATATGATTTTAATAATGACTTATAGTAAATAAACAGAAGTAATGTTGACATTCTTGGCAGTATGACTATGTATTTCAGACAGTTTTTTTTTACTTTATTGGAATCCTTGTGCAGAAAAAGTAAAAATTAAATAATTACAGTAAATCTGCCAAACAGTTTAACATTGGTTAAGTGTTAAACTGTACTTTACTGGCAATAAAGAGGGTAAATGTATTAATGCTCTTTGAATACAGCGATTGAATTTAAATCATGTTTGAATTAGTTACAGCAGTAGTAATCCCATCTTAGCAATTATTTTTCAACTGAATGTTAAAAACAGTTTTGACTTAACAGTGTATTGCAGTAAATGAGGAAAGCTTGAACATTATGGGCAATGTTTGACATTAAAATGCATACAATGGCACTGGTAGAAACGTCCCATATATGTCCTGCTTAGGAATGCATTTACTTCAGCTGCTACAGTGAAATACTGTAACAGAACCGTGCGTTTTATCCCCAGGACGTACGGCGAGGTGTGTGCCTGTTGTACAAAAAAGGAACAACGCAAAAGAACGAGGATTAAAATATTTATTATAAAAACAGACATGACATAAATATCATGGTTTGGGTGAAACATTGCTAGATTCAGTTCAGACTGTTACAGTACGTTGAGGAGGAGACCCAGAAAACAAGGCACACTGAGCAGTTCAGAGAATTGTGTAGAGGCAGAAGTAGAGATCCCGGTCACATTTCATGCCGATTTCCACTTAAGAGCTGAACTTAAGATCACATGATAAACCCCATGCCTTTAGGGAGGCACTTCACAAAAAGCCAAAAGAAAAACATGCACCTAAAGGAGGACATGCAACAAAATAAGCAGCATGCAAAACAGAACAGAGCAACATTCAAACTAGTTAGATTAAATATAAATATACAGGGTTGGCAAAGTGGGTTTTCAGAATCAATAGTATTGAGATAACTGCAGCACTTTTGGAACGCCTTTCAATAACGTTAACACTACTGTGCAAGTGTCAAAAACACACAATGTTCTCAGATCAGAAAAAAAAAAAAAAAAAAATAATAATAATAATTAGTGGCAAGACACTGCACTCAAATAGAAAATAAAGAACTTCAACTTCAGAAAATAGACAAACTTTACCAACAGTAGCATTGAACATCACCTGCTTATTCAACAGACTGAAAGGCAGTACCAGACCAATACTTCACATCGTTCTCCATGGACTTTTTCTTCATCATTACCAGCTGCACACTAACCTTCCCAAAACCAAAAGTTCACTCAAGTGGAGGATCAACATGTTTACGAACCATTAGCGACACACGACTCTGCTGTTTTTGAGAACACAAGAATACACATTTTCTCCTCTCCAGTTCACATTACTGCAGCAAACATTCAGGTAGAATCATATTTTTGCTTTTGGATATTTCATGAGTATTGGGGCCACTGAGAGGAAAATTAGAGTTATATACAAAAGAGATTGAGAATAAAAAAGGTGCAAGTTTGCAAAAAAATAAGAAATTAAAATGAGTCCTGAGAAAACCAAATCACAAAACATTCTGTAAGGAAATTCTACAAGAATGTGAAAAATAGTTATATTTTGAGAGGAAAATTATTGAAATACGACATGGTTTTTATTAATATTTTTCCTAACAGTGGCACTAATCCATCAAAACTATTATTTAATGCTGCTATAATAAAAACTAAATTATAGCTGTGAACACGGCACAGATCCAGACTTCAACATGAATGCAGCTTTCACCATGTCGATCACATAAAAAAAAAACTAATTTACTTTAAATCGTTGTATAAATACACATCGTAATTTGATATTAGATTTATATATAATTTGGAGTCTCTTTATGGGCTTAATCTAGAAACAAAGTTGGCAGACATCGATTAAAGGCCAGCTTCAAATCTAGTCCCTTAAACCACGAACATGCGCTTAAATTCTCGAGACAGAAATACTTTCCCAAAATGGGAAACTTACGACACATTAGAAAAAAGGTTCTTTCTTTGACAACGGCATCGACTGACAGGAATTTCATGGACGTAAACATTACTTTCATCCGTGCCATGTTGGTGGACCTCAGTAGATAAGACTCACTGATGACGAGGGTTAAACTGACTCCACAGAAAACTCAATCCATAAAGAGACTAATATATAAAAAGGGCTTATAATGGCTCATACCAATCCATGGCACTGTATTATATACACATACATATATATTGCACTTGTAAAATAACATTAAGTGGTACGTTACACGGCGGTCCGTCTCAGAAGCACTTCCTGAAGACGATCTGCGGCCCGTGCTCCTCGTATTCTTCCTGACAGATCCAGGCGGCGCTGAAGGTGGGCAGGTTGGCGAGCACTGCTCCGCCGCTCCACACCGAGAAGTCTCTGTCCTCGGGGCTGGTGACGCGAACGCTCTTCCCCATGTCGGCGGGAAGCAGTCCTTTGATTTCAGCCTGGAGCCGCTCAGGCAGGCCCGGCAGCAGAGTGTTCCCGCCTTCAGCAAGAGACAGAAAGAAAATGTTATTCCAGTCAGTAGAAGTTACCTGGAAAGATGCGTTTTTGAGTTCATCTTTGAGCCCTTCTGACTGTTGTGTAACACCGTAACAAAACAAAACAACGGTTACCTGACAGTACGATATTTCCCAGGAAGCAGCGCCGCAGGTCGATGTCTGAGCTGAGGATGCACTTATAGACGCTCTCGTGCATCCCGTAATGGTCCCGTCCAATCAGCTCGGGTTTAAAGAGAATCTCAGGGGCCCTGCATGAACGAGGAAGTGGTAGACCTCTCTTATAAACAGCCTACTAAAATAGGTCTATTTGACCCTAAATGGACCATAATGTACTAAATGAACATCATGCTGTATTAAAGAAGACTTGAAACTAGAGATTGAGACCATAAACTCATGTTTACTGAGGTAATAAATCAAGAGAGAAGTAGAGTCATTTTCTCATAGACTTCTATACAACCAGAGGAGTCGCCCCCTGGTGGACACTAGAGACAATTTAAGACACTTCCACTTTGGCTTCACTCGGCAGAACCACCTGGTCGTTTCCCATCCTAACAGCTAATGAGATGTCAAAACAAAGAAAGAACAAAGTTCTCACATGTCCAGTGTTAATATTGATTTCCTTTAGGACCCCACTCAGTGAAGCAGGACATGATGTGCAGACAGTTACCTGAACCTCTCCGGGCCAAGTGTGACGATCTGTCCGTCTGGCATGGTGTAATGCATCTCTCTGCAGGACCCGCGACTCAGTTCGGCTTCATAGTCGACGGCCACACAGCAGCAGCTCTCCTTCATCTCCCTCACTATCTCTATCTCCGCCGTGGTGCGCATGCACACCCCTTGTTCCTGCAGAAGCTTTCAGCACAGGCACACCAATAATGGTCACTCCTGCAGTTTAGCTTGCACCACACAGCAACAGAACATGTCGTCATGAATATCCTTACACGAGTGACTTGAATTCATTGATTTCACTTAATTTGCTCGCCTGAAGGATTACCTACTTATTTACGATTGATTGCTTTTCACGTAAAAGCATTCTCAGATTAGTTATTGGTGCTATTATAGCTTTTGTTGTCGTGATTATTAATGCAATATTTAGTTATCGAAGCACGACCCAAGACTATCTCGTCTAAGCCCCGGAGGTCCACTCTCTCCACCCATTAGATGAGTCATCCATCAACATCACTGACCATAAATTCTGTACCAAACAAAGCGAGTGAATACCTTTTTCAGATGCATTGTAACGTCGGCACCAGCCAGAGGGAAGCGCTGCACGGCATGAGGTAGACAGTATCCCTCAAACACAGGCACACTGTGGCTCACTCCGTCGCCAGAGTCAAACACCACACCTTCAACGAAAACAAAGAGTTCATGAAAAGAAATCCTCATTCTTTTTGATCCGAGGAGGAAAATAAGGCTTTAAAACAGCTGTTTAAACATGCCAAGAGGAGACTGAAGTCCAAGACAGTATTAAGTACTATTAAGTCCTCATGAAATCACACATTAGTAATTGATGGATTATTAAGTATTCATCCAGGCAAATCTATCCAACATAATGCATAAGTGAAATGCATAAATAGACGCGTCAATTAGCCAAATTACCAGTCGATCTCCCTGCAGCGTAAAGTGCCAGCACCGCCTGCATGGCCACGTAGGTGAAGGGAACATTGAAACACTCAAACATGATCTCCACCATGCGCTGACGGTTCTGCAAGGGGTTCATGGCCGCCTCGGTCAGCAGGACAGGGTGATCTTCTGGCTCCACGCCGAGCTGCTGGAACGTGTGATGCCAAATCTTAAAAAAAATAAATAAATAAAAAAAAACAAAAAAAAAACAGAACAGTTAAGAAAGTCCAGGTCACAAACCCATTCATCCTGGTCCTCCAGATGACAATCCAAGCATCCTTTTCATAGAAACACTCAGTGATCTGATATCAGGCATGTGCATCACTACTCTTTACCTTTTCCATTTCATCCCAGTTACAAATGATCCCGTTCTTAATGGGATGCTTCAGAGCCAGGACCCCTCTCATGTGTTGCGCTTCATGTCCAATGTAGATCTCCCTTTCAAGGTTGCCATTCATTATTTCCTGCAAAAAACAAAACAGTGATGTGGCTTTGACTCAGACCAGCCTTTTTCTGATTAACTATTAGAATGCATTCTCTCTTTTACAGAGAATATAAGAAGAAATACTTTAAGTAAATGCACTTACCTCATATTTTGGCATTCCAATAATTGTTGGGAATATAATGTTTGGGAGGTCTTGATCTGCAAATCCTGCTTTCATCAAACCAGACCCCGTATCCAGGACTATGGGGGTCTTGAAATATGTCATCTGCAATCACATTAAGAAAAATATCCATCTGAATCAAATGAACAATAAAGCTGACGGTGCACTGCAATGTTTGGTCATTTTTCCTTTATGCACAATCTGGTTCTTAACAGTCTTAATCACTTTAAACTGCTGGCAGCATGGAGCGCGTGTAATCTGCTAAATTACAACAACAGGTGAGGGAGGTGTGTCTGGAGCCAACAGTCCTCCGTAGCTAAAAACTGTAAAGGAAGCACACTTTAGTGGTCCAATCAAATGTCAAGGATTAAATTCGTCCAGTCTTTATGCTAAGCTAACCACGTTAAAAAGTGGCCACCCTGCAGTATTACAGTAGATGGTGTACCTCTCTCATGTCGCTATTAAGCTGGGCCTGAATCCCAGGTGACCTAGAGCCTGACATCCTCATGGCCTCGGAGCTCTGCACACCATCAGCAAAGCCTTCATCCCGCTCATCTCTTCCACCGGGGTCAAACTCCAGAGGCCGGTCAGGAGGCAGCTGGGGCGCCGACTGCTCGTCTGCAGCAGACAGAGTCCGGACTTCCTCTGCTGGGCGCAAATCTTTTGCTAGCAAACACTCGGGTACTTCTGATGCATCCTCTTCACCTTGAGTGGTTACTTCAGACAAGTAGTCTAATGGAACATTGCATTTTTCAGTGAGCACATGGTTGTTGTTGTTATTGTTGCTGCTGCTGTGTTCCTTCACATCTGGATTGACAAGAAAGTTGCGAGCGACGGCTGTAGTTGCATTCTCAAGCAGTGCATCGAGTTGCACAAAACCGGGATCTTGAGCGACGGAGGGCCGAGCTGGATCCTGCAGCTCCGTGTAAGGAGGAGGTTCGTGTTCAGCGAGGTTGTCGTGGTTCACAGGAAGTGGAGCCCTTCTTGGCTCGGGCACAGGAGGACGGTGCGAGTTCCCACCTGGGTCAAATGCACCAACATCTGGCTTCATTCCAGACGGTAAAGACGCATCTTCACGAGATTTGTCTAATTTGTTCCCGTAGATACGTTCCTCTTCAGGAGATTCCTTCAAATCAGAGGTGGCTTTATTAAACGCTAACGAGCAATCATCTTGACACTGGGAATCTGGAGGTTGAACCAAGTCTTGTGGCGTAGCCTCTTCGGCATCATCGGGACCCGACCCCGCTTGAACGTCTTCAGTTTGACACGTTTCCTGAGAATCATTCTGGACCGAAGGTGTTGAACTCTGTGATCTACAGCTACCTGACAAAAGCTCATCACAGAGGGCTCGGTCTTCCTTATTCTCACTTCTGGCCTTCTCCATCACAGAACATTTTACAACCTTTCTAGCTTTGTCCTTGCGCTTCTTCGCTTCATGTTCTTTGTCCAAACTCTTCTCGAGCTTCTCCACCTCCCTTTTCTCCTTTTCCAGTTGTAGCTGAAAAGCCTCCCTCTCTTTGCTCGTACTTGACGGCCTGTTTGTATCCGGAGATTCACCCACAGAGAGTTCCTCTTCGGGGTTTTCTTCGCAGCTTCGGAGCTCCTGGATCTTCAGGTTCTCCTCCATGATCAGCTCCTCCAGGATGTGGACTTTCCTCAGCTCCGTCAGCAGGTCCGGCCTGCTGTGAAATGCTCCCGTGGCCGCTTCAGAAGCCTTAGCGTCGCTTGCAGATCCAGCTGATCCGGGCTCACTGAGGTGGTCGGACTCCGCAGGTTCAAGGTAATCCTCGAGGCCAAGAACACCGGCTTCAGCCAGCTCACTAGACGACATCTTTAAGAAATGAGCACAAGCAGGTGAAGCATGAGGAATGCAGGTTTGCGCTGGCTGTATAAACAGTTCAGTGATGCATCACTTTGTCCAGTACTTTGATCTCTAGGAAATGTAGTGAAGTGCATACAAGGTTTTAGGAAAAGGAAAGTGCTGAACCCAGCTGATAAAATCTATTAACACAAACCAAGCGTACCACACCGAGCTGGTCCTCACTGTCCCACGGCGGCCACTGACGGTGCCCATCCTCCGACCTCAGCAGGGCGTCCAGCACCGCCTCCTGAGCCAGAACTTTTTCTTCTTTCTGAGGAGGAAGACGTTTCAAAGGGCTGTTTTAACTTGTGAAGGGCATCGGACGTTAATATTTGACACTTCACATGATTGCCGCCCTAAAATGGCAGCAATCATCTGCTCTTTTACTCAAACGGTGCATCTCCTACCTCTAGTATTTCATCAGCCCTGTCCAGGATCTTCTCCACCGCCCTCAAATCCTGCTGCTCCTTCACATCCCAGTCATTTAGGGAGATATCGACCTCACTGAGGGGAAAAAATAAAAGCAGGAGAAGTGCCATTGTTAGAGTTTGATTGTGACAGTAAGTCAGCACTATCAAATATATATTTAATGTTTTAAGCACACATCTATGAAATCAGTATAACAGAACTAGTGTTAATGCAGTATGATTTAACATGTAACCCGTTTGTTTTAATGTTTAACTTATTAAAGAATTTAAGCTTTTTAAATCCACTCTGGAAACTCCTGAAAATATTGGTGTCAGGAAAACATGCCTGAGCAGGAAAGTTTGGGAATTCTCCCGAGACCCCATTAGAAACATTAAACTTGGGTGGGACCATAAAAACATTACACCATTATTTCCAGGGCAACAAAGGAGGAGTTTAGAACATGAGGTGAAGCATTAACCCCAGACGGAGGAAATATACAAGACCGTGTTCAGAGCAGGGAGATCAGTTCTTTGTTTAAAGAATAAACTCTAGTGCATCGAACTCTGACCGCGTCCAGGGATTTCTTGGAACATTTTCAGGATTCCAATAGCAGCATAATAACAAAACAATTTTTTGATATTCTATAAACCGATGCGTTACCCGTCCACAGCATCGTCGTTCTGGTCGTGGAGGTCATACGAGTCCCAGAGGAGAGTAGGAATCCCCTCGGTGGTGCAGATGGACTTGTCTCGTCCATCTGTAATCGTGCTGGAGAGGACGTGGCGAACGGGACTCAGTTCAGGATCCTCCACACTGCTTTGAGAGTGTATCGTCCAGTGGCCGCTCTGCGGGCCTCTGGGCCGCGTGCCTCTCAAAACCTCCGTCTGTGTGGGCTGATCTCGAGACCTGTCGGATTGGTCGACGCTGGTGCGGGGGTCGGAGGGATTATGGGATGGCAGCTCTCTCTTTTGCGGCGTTGGGTTCTGCGTGATGGTGACCGTGTACGAGTTTTCCAGATCGTCTACCGGCAAGCTAAGCCAAGGATTGTTGGGCAGCGCCACCGAGCGCTTCACTTTGATCTCCAGGTTGAGGGAATCCACGGTGACTTTCGGGACGATCTGGATGCTGGCCCCGGAGGAGCTCCCCACGGAGCCAACGTCCTCACAATCTGAAACACTGAAGGTAATGTCTTTGTGGATTTGAGGCTGGCTCACGGCTCCTTCCCTGCCCCCCCACACTTCCGACTGGCTGCTCGCGGCTCCATCGAAGCCCGAGTCGAATGAGCTGAGGGACGGGAGTTTGCCCTCGGCTGACGCCACCGCAGAAACCGCAGTCGCGGACATTACTATAAGACGGGCCTCTTCCGTACCACTTTCACATTTACCGACGTCCTGAACATCTTTAGTCGTTCCGTTGGTAGCGCCGTCAGCGGAGGAATGGTTTACATGGCCGCTCCGCAACAGCTCGTACTGCCACTGTAAGGCCAGCTGGAGGTGACCGACAGCCACAGGTCCCGAACTCATCATCAGTTTCCTCAGGGTCAAGCACCTGATGAATAAAAAAAAAAAACATTAAAAAATAAAATAAATAAAACTGGTCGTGAAACAGGACCAGAAAGAAATGTTGTGGTGTGGATGTGTGTCAACAATGTTTCTGCTACGCCAATTGTTGCAGTTTATATCCACGTCCGGCCAAAATCTAAGGTGACGTTAAACGCCATGTTCTCTCTCTCACCGATGAGACATCTGCTTGCCCGCCTCCTGGACCTCATCATCCAGAATGGCTTTAGACAGATGGCCCAGATGAACCAGCTCCTCCGTATCTGGAGGGGGATTCTTCTTCAGGAAAGTGGACATCTTGTACCTCCACGCAGGGATCGTCCCCCAGCTCCTCCTCTGAACACCGTCTCCACCGACTCCGGACAGCAGCAGCTGGAGGACGTTCTCACAGAGGACCAGACGGTACCAGCTGTTGGCCTGGAAGAGGAACACAGTTTGGGGTAGTTTAGGGACAACACTTTAACTTACAAGGGTTTGTATTTGTCATTGTACGACAGGGTTGCACAACGAAATGTAGATTGTAGTCCCAATTTGCAAACCAAAAAAAAACGATGTTATAAATGGAGGGTGGATGAAGGAGTCATATTCAATGAAATGTTTCCCTTGCTTTTAAAAGGTATGATGAAAATGACGAATTATTAAAATGGTTGATTATTTTCTGACAGTCAACCAATCTTTTCAGATACAGACATGACTACTTTTAAAAGTCCTGAAAGGCCGAGAACTTGCCTTGTTGTAGTGATGGTGGTAGCTGGAAACTGCTCTGAGGGTTTGGAGGATGAAGTTCACAGCGGAGCGGAGCTTCTCCTTCAGCCTCTCCACATCCAGAACCCAGCGCTCCCTGGTCTGACCGTCATACAGCAGGATCTCCGATACCGTGTGGATCACATCTTCAGCACAGAGAATGAGTGCCTGGTGGGGGAGGAGGGTTGGAGTTATTTGAAGAGAACATTACTTAACAAAAAAGGAACTCATAGGGAATATGACAGTGTGAGAATGGATGCATGACTGATATTTGACATCTAAATCAGGAAGAAGACTGAAGATACTACAAGGAACTTTCATTTTGTGTTGATTCTGGCGGTCCCTGTGGACAACAGTGGTACTGTTGCCATCAGCACCAGAGTCCCTTTAAAAAAAAAACATCCAATTTAACTGCCGCAAGGTCTGACAGTCTGCCCGCTCCGTCCTGGTTCCTCCCGTGCCTCCCTTCCCCCTCCAGTGGGCCCAGCAATACGGCCTTGTCCTGCTGGAGTCTGAGCTGAATAAGTTTCTGGTGAACTTGATGCCGCGGGGGATCGGTCCCAATGTTAAGCAGTAAGAATATCCACCATCACTGTATAGAAATAGCCAGTTTGCTTTTGCAGGTCATATAGAGGCATCGCTCTGAAATTGAGGCCAGTTAAAAGATCCTTGTAGAAACTTTCCGAATCTAAACTGTGAAAATCTGAACCACAATACAGTCCGATTGAGGCTGGGATTACAGTACCATGGCAGGCGTGTGAACGGACGCCTGAAATTCAGAAACCAACATCACGGCCTCCGCAGCATCCTTGGCGATCTCTATTTTGTAAGGCTGGAGTTTCTCTTGAAGGAGAGTTTTGATCTGCTCTGTGATCTGGAAACAGAAGGAAACACGTTTTGGTTCATAGAGGTAGTCTGCCAATTAAAACCACAGCTACGTACTTTGCTTTAAGTACAATCACTATACTCAGCAGAGTGTAGGAAAACAAATGTGTCTTTCTGGAGAAAATGAAAAGCAGACTCCTTAAGAGCGTCTTTCAATACCAGCGAACACGGCGAAGATCGCCAAACTCGAGGCTTCAAAACGTCAGTCCACAAACCAATGAGTGACGTCATGATGACTACGTCCACTTCTAATATATGTTCAGTCTGACAGCTTTCACACCAGTCCGAATGAACCACACCAAAAAAAGGAGGCAAACGCGCCACAGTTGGTTTAAAGTGTGAAAGCACAGACTCACCTGCAGAGCATCCTCTCGCAGCTGGAACACCTGTAACTGGAGACGTGCCTTAGAGAAGGCCTGCTGCCACAGCAGCTCCACTTTCTCCACAGCAGCAGTTATCCTGTAAAATACAAAAAGACACCTTCAATTCATATTTATTACATTCATATTACAAACTAAGTTTCCAGAGCAAACTGTTGTGATTTGGGCCCATAGAAATACTAGAATTGTGGTTGTATGCCTCAGCAAACCAGTCAAGTAGTAGTTTCCATTCATGTCATCACTTCAGACATGCATGTGAAATGCTAAAAAAATTAATTTGATCATTTATTTTACAAAAACTGGCACAAAATTGAATCTATTTACACAACATTTTTCCAAGTTGCCACAAGTGTAACCAATGTTAGGAAAAAACAAACGGAGGTTCCATGTGCTATATATTAATCTATTCACATGTTTACAAGCTCTACTTACAGCCTCTCCCCTCTTTGCTCAGCGGAAGTTTCACTAAATTTTTGTCACATGACTGTTGGTCTCAGCCGAATCAAACATGGTTTCCTAGTTGAGGAGCTCAGAATTTCATGATTTTTACTCCGTTTAGAGTCAACGGTTTATTTGAGCAACATTCTACATGAGACATGTAGATGATGAAATATCACAATTTTAAGCTTAGTTTCGGTTGCTTTTTCTGACTGAAGCGTTCCTAACACATGATGTGTTCAAGGACCTTCGGAAAGATGATAATCTGACGATGACAGTTGTCAGAGCTCTTGGCTGTGATGAACGGTGTGGTTTTGGCGATTGTTTAAGGAAAAACACGTTTTTTCCATCCCGCCGGCCGGTTTTGGTGTTCAGATGGTTAATTCCTAATTTATTTACCATGAATACATCATGTTACCATGAAGTCTCAGCTATGACTGCTTAGACAAAAAAACACTTTTCAGCCAACAGAAACCTTACTAGTGAAACTAATTGTTGCTTTGGCTGTTGAGCAACACGGGGTTGCGACATTGTATGGTATGCGTGGGAAGCGTTGTTACGGAGGAGTAACTGCCTGCAGTACCTGCTGTGGTTCTGCAGCATGTCGAAGGCGGTGTGGGTGAAGAGGGCCGTGCCGGCCATCGCCTGGTAGCACGGCTCTGTCTCCGGGTAGCGCAGCTTCTCCACAACACTCTCACAGTGCGTCAGCAGTTCATCCAGCCCCAGCTCCCTGAATACCAAACATGCATCCAGATATGAACACGGGTTAGTTTGAAGACGGTGTAGAGGGTAAAAGAAATTGTTATCTCAAACAATGAAGCATTTGTTTTTTTTGGTAATGTAACCTAAACAATGGTGCACTTTGTTGGCAGCGTGGAAAACTAGCTACACTTAGAAATAATATTTATTTTTTTACAATCAACACTTAAAATGATAAAAGGCACTTGGGCTTATCACTGTCTGATCAAAACTTTTTAATGGACTTAATGAACTAACAGTACACAGAGTCGATACGAGCACAGCAGTTTAATCAGCTTTTGACTGGTTAATCCCCCTCGCCTGCGTGTTCATATAGAGTGCCACAAATATAGAGATTTTAAAAGATCGCTTCCAGAACAGGTTTTCACGATCAGCAGATGGATCTGTTAGCAGTTTAGCTTTTGAAATCATGCTAAAAATTACACATCCGCTTTCATAAAATTCTGTAGTCGGTTTGTTTGCTTTCACACCACAAAAACTGCACCTTGTGACCGAGATTTCAGGCAATCTCGGTTTGGTTGTTTGATCCTTACGAGGGTTTGATTAAGAGCTTTCACACCAGCCCAAACATACCGCACTAACAAACCTGTTTTAACCAAACCAAACAGGTTAGGTGTGGAAGCACCCTATGCGTCATTTTCAGTGAACATGGCTGCCAACTTTAAAAGGAAGTTGTGTTTTGTGTTTGAGATTCAAGTTCCCAATATGTTCACATACAAGCAGTTAAACCCCTGAGAACACTGCTGCTCCAAAACAGATAACAGGGTGAGTTCCAATACCCAGACTACCATACTACTTAGTATGCCAGGATTATCTTTTTTAAGATGTCCCAACACACAATATGTCAAATGCAGAATGACAAAAATGTGACCAGGATGTTCTGCATCCTGGTCACATTTTGCAGTATGCAAACCAGCATGCTTTTCTGGCTATTCTGATATTTGAGCAAAAGTTCAATGTGCCATGTTATGAGAACGTAGTATGTCCCAATTGAATGAATACTGCATGCAACAGTACGCACTTTGTAAGGGTCGCTGTAGTATGTACTAGACGTAAAAAGAAAAGTACTCCATTTGGAAAGCAGTAAATCACTCAAAGATATTTGCATTTTAAGTTTTTCCACCTTCACAAAGCTGAAATACAAATAAGGAAACTATCCCTGGAGATCATCAAATACATCAGCACCTTATTTGAGATAAAGCTGGGTGAAGTGGTGGTTATCCTGCATTGTCTAAAATCATTAAATTCAGACCATCTACTGAACCAACGTTGGCCTATGGGAGGAGTAGAGAAACAGTAGTGAGCCGAACCTCCTGAGCTGCTGGAACTTTGCTTCGTTGGTGGAGCAGAAGTGTCGGAGCTCGCTGAAGGTGGAGGGCGGCGGCAGCCTGGACAGAGCCTGCAGGGTGGAGATGCACGAGGGCAGCCGCTGGACCACAGACAGGAACTCCTGAACAAACTCATCGATCTCCTGCAAGGAGGAGCAGCACCGGGACAAGAGTCAATGTCAAAATGCAAAGACGGGTGATGCCCAGTTTTCACGGTGGACTTCGTGTTTACATCATGGTGCTCAAAGTTGATGGACAATGTCTTTTTTCTCATGTTTAATTTTTAATGTGACAATGACTGACATTAGCTGCCCAGAGAATTGTTTTTGTTGCTGCCGTTTACATTCCTCATGATACAAATTTAAAAGAAATGCACTACTGTGTTTGTTTTGTATATCATGCATTTGTTGTGCCACAGATGAATTTCATTGTGCATCCCTGTGTTGCAGAATGAATAAATGATCCTTGAATCCTAATGCATTACTCATAATGATTTTATAGTGTAATTTTATGATAAAACAAGCAAGTTTGCTCTGATTTATGTGCAACAGAAGTTGCTGTATTCGCTCAACCTACATGTAGTGGAGATGATGTAGTTGCATCCTAAAATGGTCTCCTATAGGACGAGAGCTGCCATGGTTAATGAATACTGTCATCATGGCAAAATGCCCGAGATGAACATGTATGAATGTAATGGGAAGAGGGGGGGGGGGGGGGGGGGGGGG